ACACGCACACACACCCACACATACGTCGCGCGCGCACACACACACACACGCACACGCACAAGCACACGCACACGCACACGCACACGCACACGCACACGCACACGCACACGCACACGCACACGCACACGCACACGCACACGCACACGCACACGCACACGCACACGCACACACGCACACGCACACGCACACGCACACGCACACGCACACGCACACGCACACGCACACGCACACGCACACGCACACGCACACGCACACGCACACGCACACGCACACGCACACACGCACACACACACACACACACACTACGACACTGGTATGCGCATCGTACACAGAACGAGCATCATACACAGAACAAACAGACATGCAGCCGCACACGTACGCAAAAACACACACATACACACACCGACACACACAGACACGGCCACACAGACACACTTTGTGCGTCGGCGGTTGGGCAGAGGGCGACTGCTCTGGCGGAAAGGCAACAGCGGACACGCTGGATGCAAAGTAAGGCCGCGATGCACGGAAGGAGGAGCCCCGGCGCGACAGGGAGAGAGGAAGCCAGGCCGCTCAGAGCTGCCGGCTGCGGTGGGGGGTGCACCGAGGGGGGGAACAGCGTCGGAACAGGGCTGCACTGGGCTGCTCTGAGCTGAAGCTATGGGAGAGGCAGCCTGGAGCTGCAGCTGGTGGTGGGAGACAAAACGAAACAGAGCCCAACCCAGTGGACCGAGCACAGTCCAAGGATGGGCCAATGCGCCGAGACCTTCGGGCCTGCGAGGCGCGTGCGAAGAGGCGGAAGGCGGAGGGGCACGAGTAGGCAGCCCCGGCCCCGGCTGTGGGCGCCGCGCCGCAAGCAGGCACAAGGGCCGGTACTGGGCAGCACCGAGCTGGACAGGGCTGAAGTTGGTGTTGAGCGGCACTGAGCTGTAGTTGAAGCCAAAGAGGCAGAGCCCAGCCCAGTGGACCAAGGCACGGTCCAAGGAGGAGCCGAAGCGCCGAGACGTGTGGGCCTGCGAGGCGCAGGCAGGGAGGGGCAGAAGGCAGGCGACGGCACCGCGCAGCCTTCAGCGGTGCAGAGCAGTGCAGGCGCGGCCCAAGAAGGACGGTGGAAGGGGGAGAAGGGCGAGCGCACAAAGCCTCGCACACGCACGCACACGCACGCGCACACGCACGCGCACACGCACGCGCACACGCACACGCACACGCACACGCACGCGCACACGCACGCGCACACGCACGCGCACACGCACACACACACACACACGCACACACACACACACACACGCACACGCACAGGCACACGCACACCACCCACGCACGCACGCACGCACGCACGCACGCACGCACGCACGCACGTACGCATGCACACATTCAACCACACACAAATACACACATACACACACTTACACACACACACATACGCACGCACGCACGCACGCACGCACGTTCGCACACACACATACACACACACACACACGTAACACACATACGCACCAACGCAAGAACACACAGATCGCTCCAGGTCGAAACAGGCGTGGCACTTTCTCGACACCACAGGGGGTGCGCAGGGGGTGGTCCCTAAGCGCGCCAGCTATGCGCCCCGCTCGTCCAGCCACAGCAGGGGTGGCACTTCCTTGAGCGAGGCTGCTATACGTTTTTGTCGTCAAGCCACAGCAGGCGTGGCATGTTCTCGACACCACAGAAGGGGTGCGCACGGGGTAGTCCTTGAGCGCGGCTGCCATGCGCTCCGGTCGTCCAGGCATAGCAGGCGAGGCACGATCTCGACACCATGGCGGGTGCGCGCGGAGTCCTTGAGCGCGGCTGTTATGCGCCCCGGTCGTCCAGGAACGGCAGGCGTGGCACTTTCTCGACACCACTGGAGGTGCGCAAGGGGGTGTGGGGTGGTCTCTAAGCGCGGCTGCTATGCGTCCCGGTCGTCCAGGCACAGCATGCGTGTCTCGACACCGCAGGGGGGGCGCAGGTGGTGTTTCGCCAGCGAGGCCGCTATGCGCCCTGTTGTCCATGCACAGCAGGCGTGGTATTTTCTCGACAACAGAGGGGGGTGCGCACGGGGTGGTCCATGAGCGTGTCTGCCACGCGCCCCGGTCGTCCAGGCGCACCATGCGTGGCTTTTCCTCGACACCAGGGGGGGCGCAGGGGGTGTCCTCATCGAGGCCGCTATGCGCCCCGGTCGTCCAGGCACAGCAGACGTTGCACTTTCTCGACAACAGTGGGGTTGCGCAGAGGGTGGTCCTGCTATACGCCCGGGTCGTCCAGGGCATAACAGGCGTGACACTTCCTCAGCATCTTAGGGGCTGCGCGGGGGGTGGTACCTGAACGCGGCCGCTACGCGCCCTAGTCGTCCAGGATGAAGCAAAGGTTTCCACTTTCTCGACACCATAGGGGCCTTGATCGCGGCTTCTATACGCCCCAGTCGTCCAGGCACAGCAGGCGTGACTTTTTTTTGAGAAAAACGGTGGTGCGCACGGGGTGGTCCATGAGCGCGGCTGCTATGCGCCCTGGTCGTCCAGGCACAGCAGGCGTGGCATTGTGTCGACACCACTGGAGGTTCGCAGGGGGTGGTCCCTGAGCGCGGCTGTTATGCGCTGTCGTCCAGGCATGGCAGGCGGGGCGCTGTTTGGCTAAAGCGTTCGCGATCTGGCTCGTTGAATGCGGGTCTATCACGCGATGCTAGAACATTTTAGCCCCCCGTTTTGGACACCGCGCGGCTTCGTGGTCGCCGATAATGGTCGTGGCCAGATCGAGAATGTCGTGTTCGTCGCATGGGGGCGCAGAGTCCACTTGGGGATTGTAAGACGACCCGCTGGCCCGTCCCTGTAGTAGTGCTGGTCGTCTGACCAGCGGTCCTAGTGTTAGCATTGACGTTGGCAACATGTATCAGATATGAATTCAGTATGTGGGGCTCCTCGGTCGCGTACTTTGGTATCGCTTGGCTCCAGTTTAGAAGCGAGGGTGGTCAAAAGCGAGGTAGGTTCGTTCCACGTCGATGCAGACTTTGGTATTCAGTGCATGCTGGCCGCCACCGATGCGCGAGGACGACCCACGATCTGCGGATGATCAAGATGGGCGGCGACCAGGATCGGTACCGACGTTTCCGCGTTTCGTCCCGCTCATGACCTCTCACTCCCGCCGACCCGCTGTTTCCAATCTGCGGCCCGAGAGCTCCCGACCCCTTCACCAGGGGTGCCATGGTTCTTCGTCCTGGTGCCCGAACGTTGACACCGGAGGCCTCGCGAACCACTCCGGACGATCGAGATGGGCACGAAAGAGTGGGCACGAAGACCCACGGCAGTTCTTGCTATTCTTTTTGAGCAGGGCTCGCCGCCGGCGTCGCCGCGGACCGTATGAACTTGGAGGCAGAAAATAGGCCGCCTGCCCCAAGAGCGGCCGCTGCTGGCGTGGGACAGCACTTTTGTTGCTGGGCACTGTACCCATTTTTTCTGCGCCCATTTCGGGCAGGTTTTGGGTACTTGTCGGCCCCTCGCCGGGCCCCAGGACCGTCAGAAAATGACTCAGGAGGAAGAGCCGAGTCCCGGAAAGAGGTCCAGACCTCTGGGGGCGGCAGTGCCGGAAATGGGTACGATGCCCAACAGGAGTTCTTGTTCATTTTGAAGAGGACTCGCTGTCCGCGCCGCCGCGGACGTTGTTCTTTGAACGCAGAAAGCCGCCTGCCCAACAGCGGCCGCTGCCGGTTTTGGACAGCATTTGTTGTTGGGCATTGTGCCCATCTTTTCCGTATCCATTTCGGGCGTCTCCCGGCACGTTGCGATGAACATTGCAAACAGCCATCGTGTCACCATCGGGACCGCAGACTTGCACGGCACCCGAGAGGTTGCCTGGCCCAGACCTTCAGATCAGCCGGAAGGGCGGCGGAAGGTCAACGGAAGTAATTCGAGGCGAGGCCAGGCCTCCAGGAGCAGAGCGCTGCACCGACGCAATCTCTCTCTCGGAGTCCCGCGCATATGGCCTTCTCTCGGAGAGCGCGGCGCGCTGCGGGCGCCGCCCCTCCCGCGCTCCGCGCGCCTTGGCGGGGTCGGGGGCTCGGCGCCGCTCCGAGGCCTTCGCGCGGCGCTCCGAAGGCCTTCGTGTCTCTTCCGATCGGTCTTTCTTCTCAGGGGCGAAAGAAGGACGTACACGTACATGAATCCACGCTGGTTTCGAGAGTTCGCTTTGCGCGAATGTTCGTATCACGCGGCTGTTCTCGCGGGTCGAGGGGCCGTGTTCATGTACATAGCTGGGCGCATACGTCCTTTGTGGGCTCCCTATTCTTCGGAGGCCGGAGAACCGATTACGCGACAGACATGCCCGCGGCCGCGGCTTCTCGCGGGCCGGGCCCCCCCCCCCCCCGGGGCGCTGCGGCCCCCTGCGGGCATGGGGCGTTTCGTCCGCGCATGCGTCCGGCGCGGAGAAAACGCACGCGGTTGCGCCCGCGCGTTTTCGCGGGATCGCGCATCCTCATATCGGGGGAGCGTAAGACCCGGGTTTGCCAGGACTCGGGTTCGCCATCGTTTTTTGACGACCGCGCCTCGGATTTTGACGAGGAGGAGTTTCGTGGGATGTCTGCAGCGGGAGGCCTCGTCAAAATGCAGGCCCGGCCTCGTCATTTTTTTGACGACCTCGTCGGGGATTTCCGAGTCCCCTGTACCCAGGTCTTACGTCCCCCTGATCATAATCAAAGGCGGCGAGGGCGCGGAAACCTAGGTATGTTGTCGACCCGCCCGCGGGGTCGTGGAGGAACGCCCGGATCGCAGAACACGAGGCGCGAGGAGGATCTAGGAGGCTAGGCTATAGAGGACGGAGGATCTGGGAGGCTATGCAGAGGGGGAGGGAGGAGGAGGCAGGAGGATCGAGGAGGCTCAGACGACAGAGGAGGATCGAGGAGCATCGAGGAGCATCGAGGAGGGCCCAGGAGGATCGAGGAAGACCGAGGCCCGAGGCGGCTCGGGACCGGGCTCCTCGCTTTGGTTTTCCCTCCGCAGATGGCCGCGCCCGGTGGGCGCCTCCTCGGTGCTCCCCGCTCGGCGAGCCCTGCGCACCGCAGGACGCTGGCGCTCGACATGCGCCGCATCGCCGGCCCTCACCAGCCCGAAACGTGTCCCTATCCCCACGATGGGCAGCACAGTTTCTCGCCGCCCACCAAACCACCCCAACCCAACCCGAAGGCCCAAATTTATCCTCGATTTCCAATGGGGGGGGGTCGGGGAACACTGAAAAAACACACGGATTCCGTACCCCCCCAACCCGAAATTCGGGTCAAATTCGGGTCTTCGGGTTGGGTTGGGGTGGTCTGGTAGGTAGTCAGTTTCTCGATGCCGACGTTGAGAATTGTCTCGGTTGCTGGGGACGCACCCCTGCAGTGGAGACCCATGCCAAGCGCCACCCTGCTTGCCTCCAGGGTTCGCTGGGTTTCCTGGGTTTCGGTGGGTTCGCTATGGGAAGCGTGACGTTCCCACACCAAAAAGTAAGTGGACGTCCTTGGGCATCAAGGTTGGGTTTCTTGTGGAAGGTTTCTTGTGGTCGAGCTCCTATTGTAAGAGTATCGTCGCAGTGATAGGGATCAGTTCGAGGCTGGTCGAGGTCTGCTGCGGGAGTCCCCGGCGCCCGCCGCGCTGGCCGCGGACGCCAGAGACGAAAGCGGAGAGCAAAAGTCGCCATGGGTCAGCAGAGGCAAGGTACCCATATCGCTACACTCTGTCCGTTTTTCCCTTTTTGGGCCTCCTGGGAGGCCTTCGTTGCCACCGCTGGATTCGCCTCGAACTCCTGGTCAGTACGCACCCTGGAAGCGATCCGGGGAGTAGCGGCATCGGTACCTCCCAGACCCCCGACGTCGTGTTTGTTTCACAACGTTGACTTCCAGAGGTCTGGATTCCTTCCCCGGGACTCCCTAGTCGTTTTTAGACGGTCCCGTGGCCCGGCCAGGGCCTCCAGAGGTGGAACATCGCGAAACACCTCGCGTCGTGAAGTGTTGACAACCCGAGGGGGACTGGGCCTCAGGCTCCCACATGGGTTGGGGAAACTGGTCCTGAGGGAAGCAGGCCCTGGTCTGTCTGTCACCGTCTTCGGGCTCCTAAGGGGCCCTGTCTGCAGGCCCGGTGGCCCTTTGGAAGACGACACGGGAGGAAGGGCTGGTCCTGGGGGAGGGCTCCGGGTCGACTGCACGCAGGGGTGGCCCTTCGGCGGAGTGACCTCTGGTGCGGGCTCACGGGGGCCCCCCCGATCGCTGAGCGCGATGCGGTCGTGGCTGCTTGCGCGCTTGGATTTGGCCACCCTGCGCCCCCGTAATCCGCCCACCATAGGTCACTCTTGCCCAGGGTGATTCTTGCGTGTAGCAGACCAGGGTCCAGGACCCGTTCCCCTCAGGACCCGTTTCCCCCCATGCTTCACGCAAGCGAAGAGAACAGATACGGCACAAGCAACGACGGCAGGAGCAAGGTCAGGAGCAACGTCAGGAGGTAACGTCAGGGGTAACGCTGGCAATGGATCCAGGGCCGCCTCTAGGCCTCCCACATGGGGTGGGAGCATTGCACCGCATCGCCGATGCGGCTCGATGTGGAGCCCGATTTTCTCCACGCCGATGTTGCCGATGCATCGTCGACGTCGCCTGCTGCAGGAGTTCCTGGCTCCTGCCGCGCTGGCCGCTGACGCCAGAGACGAACAGTCTTCTCGGAGGAGGGGAGTAATCACCGATACGGCTAGCCTTGCCTCGTGGTCGCCTTGTTGGGCTCCTGGGCTGCCGTCGTCGCAACCGCTGGATTCACCTCCGCAATTCTGGTCAGAACGCACCCTTGGAGAGGCCCAGGGAGTCGCGGACTCTGGAGACGAAACCGAATACAACAAAAGCGTCATCATAATTTTTCTCGTGGTCCGTGTGGGTATCTTGGATCGGCGCTGAAACCCCCTCCCTGGGCGCGTCGCGCGAAGTTGTCGCCAGGGGCGCAAGACCGCCCCTGGGGAATAGGTCGGTTGCTTTTTCGCGCCAGCATGCTGCGGGAGCCCCCGGCGCCTTCCGCGCTGGTCGAGGACGGCCAAGAAGAAAGCGTTCGGCAAGCCCAGATCTCCGACGATACATGTTGCAACCTCTCTCGCACCGGGCGTTTTCGCCCGGGTTCTGGCAACGGGACCCTCACTGATCGATCGGGCTCGAAAAACTCTGGAGTCCAGTGTTCTGGCCGTGCCTTTTTCGCGATGCTGTTTTTTGTTGCGTCGGCATACTTTGCCAATCCAGGTGTGCTTTTCCTAGATTGCGGTTTCTGGGGCCGCTGTTGGGGCCCGATGGCATCAGCATGAGGGGGGGGGGGGCGGACCGTGGACCATCTATACACAGAAGTCTGTTTGTGTATCTACATATATATATATATATACACACATACACATACACCAAGGGACAGGGCTCGTGGCTCCCAGGGCGGCCCCTCGACGCGCCAAGGGGGCCCCGGAGCCCCGGGAGCGCGCCGGGATCGCGCCAGGAGGCTGAAGGCGCCCCCAGAAGGCGCCAAGAGAGCTCGAAGAGCGGTCCAACGGGCCTCCAAGACAGCCCAAGAGCGCTCCATGACGCCCAGGATGGCCTCAAAATGGCGGTCGCAGGGACGTTCCCGGCGGTCCGTTTTGCCCCGCCTTCTACAGCGTTGGGGATTTTTTTTGCTTGGGAAAGAAAGCTATCCCCCAGACTGTTTTTGTGTGTAGCTGATTTCAGGCATTACTCAGCACCATGTAGCTTGCACCTCATTGCTTGCGGGACAGTGCAGTGGGGGCTACTTTTGCTGATTGCTGTTCAATCGTCCAGGATAGCAGCATGAACAACTCCAGGTGCAGCACCCCGCACAGCGCCTGGGAGCCTGCCGACCGCAACGGCGTGTCGCTCGGCTCCGCTGGGCCGTCGCCCGTCGCTGCGTCGCGCCTCGTCGGGAACAACCAGGCGGTGGCCGTGCTGAACGAGAAGCTCAACCAGGTGGTGCAGAGGCTCCAGCAGCAGTTCGAGGGTGACAGGCGCCGGCTGCACCAGGTCGAGCGCAGGCTGGAGGCCAGCGCCGACGACCGCGCGCGGCACGGCGAGCAGCGGGAGCGTTGGGCCGAGCTGCAGGGCAAGGTGGACGGTCTGATCGAGGAGACGCAGTCGCTCACGCGGCGGGTGGAGGGCCTCGACGAGCGGCTCTGGGCCCGCACCAGCGGGTCCGACGGCTCGAAGCAGCGCGGCCGCGAGCTGGAGCAGCAGGTGCAGTCCCTGGAGCAGCACGTGCGCCTGGCGGCCGCCACCAGCGAGGAGGCGTCCAAGCGGCAGGCCGCCAAGCTCCGGCGCGCGGAGCACGCCGCGGAGGAGTCCGTCCGGCGTTTGGCCAGGCTCGAGGAGGAGGTGCGCGGCGGGATGGCTGCCGTGCAGCGCGACCGCTTCTTGGAGACACGGCTGAGCACCCTGGAGCAGCAGCAGGACCAGCTGGATGAGGTGGTCCAATCCCTCCAGGCCCAGATCGACGAGGGCATGGCCGGCTTCGCGGGCCTGGGCGGCGGCGGCGGCGAGGTCGAGGGCGAGGCGGGGCGCCAGGTGGACGATGTGCTCCGCGCGGTGGAGAAGAGCCACTCCGAGCTGGAGAAGAAGGTGATGAAGCAGGTGGAGGAGCAGGCCGCCTTCCGCGTGAAGGTCGACCACCAGCTCTCCCGCGTGAACGCCCTCGCCGACCGGCTGGAGACGGCACACGAGCCGGCGCTGGAGTCGCTGCGGGCCGAGATGGCCAGCCAGCGGTGCCTCATGTGTTTATCAATTCTGCGGTCTTATCTTAATCATAGAGCCGTCTAGTTCTAGGAACGTTAGTGCCAATGTTGGCGGGATAGCGCGGCGCCGGGGGACATAATCTTTCATTAGATGATACCATATGACACACTAGTACTCTCCGACTGTATATGACACTCGATAACGCCGCCGGGCACTGATTGACTCGACACTAAGATTATGACACCATGGCACGTAGCTACGCATGACTATGGTGTGGCCCCGGCATTGCGCAAAAGAAGGTGCCAGGACCGCCAGCTCGCCGACGGGGACACCGCTACCCTGCGCCGCCAGCTCCAGGAGTCTACCGACGGCATGGAGGACGCCCTGGCCGAGGTGCGCGAGGGCCTGCGCGAGCTGCGGGACCTCCCCCGGCACGAGGGCGACGGCAGCGCGCTGCGGGGCCTCTGGGACCGCCTCGCGGACCTGGAGCAGCGGGCGGCGTCGCTGGAGGACCCTGAGATCGGACGTCGCGGCAGAGCTGCAGCATCGCAGGGAACGTCACGACCGGAGCCCCAGGCCTCACCCAGACCCCCTCGCGGTGCGGAAAAAGGCACGACGGAAAAGACTTTTCGCTGTTTTCGGAATTTGGAGGCCCTCGCCAGGCCAGGCAGGGGGCCGTCAACAGAACGACTCGAGTCGAGAAACTGGTCCCGGGAAGGGGCCCAGACCTCTGGGGGCCGACCTCGTGACAAAAGTCACGTCGTCGGGGGTCTGCGTGCCCCACGCCTTCCTGCGGCGCCTTCCGAGCCAGATCGGTCCGTGGTAGCCGCCAGCTCGCGGCCCGAGGCAAGGCGCGCGCAGGCTTCCGCGCGAGGTCGCGCGTCCAGCGCACTCTCTCTGCTCCGATGTGGCGCGCCGCGCCGGCGACCCTCCTCGCTGAAACCGCCGCGACCCTCGTCGCGCAAGGCCCGCTGCTCTTCGTCGCTCCAGCCGCCACGCCCAGATCTCCGGGTCGCCGGAGGAGGCCGTGTCCGTGGGCGCCGCGGCCGGCGGCGCGGCCGACGAGGCCGGCGGCGCGGGCGCGGCGGAGGCGGCGGCGGCCGCCGCGAGCGAGCTCGAGGAGGTGCGGTCGCGCCTGGACTGGCTCGAGGAGCAGGGCGCGGCGCGCGCGCTGGAGAGGCCGGAGGCGCGGCACGCGTCGGAGGCCCAGGACAAGATGTGCAAGGTCGGCCTTTTCCCTCCTTCTCCTCCCCTCCCCCTCCTCCTCCTCCTCCTCCTCCTCCTCCTCCTCCTCCTCCTCCTCCTCCTCTCCTGCCTCTTGCCTTCCCCCCTCCTCTTCCTCCTCCTCTCGTCGCTCCCCCCTCCCCCTCCTCCTCCTCCCCCTCCTTCTTCCCCTCCTCCTCCTCCTCCTCCTCCTCCTCCTCCTCCTCCTCCTCCTCGTCCTCCTGCTCCTCCTCGTCCTCCTCCCCCTTCTCCTCCTCCTCCCCCGAGGGTGGGGGCCTGGCACCAGTTCTCAAGGTGTCAGCGCCACACACTCCTCGGGACACACCGTTAGAGTCGACTACATTCGGTGACTGGGGGCAACTAACTAAACCGGCTCGCGCCTTTTAGATATGGCCGCGTGGCATGTTGCCCGTGGCAGCGGCGTTAGCCACGCTCCGTGACCTGGAGATGGGTACCAGGCTCGGGGGATTGCGCATTTGGTTGAGGGGCGGGGCCATGTGGTCCGTAAGTCCAATGGTGGCCGTGTGCCCGCTCACCCTGGGAAACAAACCCAATTGCGCATGCCAGCTGGTTGGGCAGGGGGTGATAATCGGGAAGTGTCTCGCAGTGACGATGTGAACCGATTGTCCCCCTACGCACCACGCCCTTTCGGCTGGAGTCAAGTCGCTGGGCGTCGAGTTAGCTGCCTATCTCCTGCTCGTCGGTGCGCGTGCCTTCGGGCCCGCTTCCTCCCGTAAGGGAGAGGCCGGGGGTGCCAGTTGCCTGCCATTGCGGCCCGCCTGCGCGCGGTGTGCACCGTGCATTTCCTGGGTCCGTGTGTCCATGAGTTTTTCTCCTTTCCTCCTCCTCCTCCTCTTCCTCCTCCTCCTCCCCTCCTCCTCCTCCTCCTCCTCCTCCTCCTCCTCCTCCTCCTCGCTCTGCCACAGGGCGTCCTGCTGAATTTTGTGAAATGCGCGAGGTACGCATCGTCTCGCCGATCCCCATTTCCGCTTCGTAATGCTTCGGGTTGCGCGCGGACGGCCTCCCTGGGCAGTCCTGCCTGGCCTCACCAGGCCCCCCCGAGTAGTTTGGGGCGGTCGGATCACCCTGGCGCCGCCTCCGGCGGTGCCCTTGGGGCGCTCCGCGGGCCAGGGTTGAGGTGTAGAGACCGTCCCTTACTACTCGGGGGGCCTGTTGTGGCCAGCAGGGACTCCTCGGGGGGCCTGTTGAGGCCAGCTGGGGCCACCCGGAGGGGCTGCCAGTGCGCAGCCCGGAGCACGCTGAAGCCTCACCATCCCCAGTATCGGCACCACCCAAACATAGTCAATTTTTCTATGTGTGCGAAGGCACCCCAGGGGCAACGCACGGGCTTGGAACTCAACTCCTCATAGTGTATGTTCGATGGCGGGCGCGCTCTTGCCATACCGCCTGGGAAAGCTTCAGCGACATTTTAACAGACTTTGGTAGCCAGCATGGGCCCCGAACGATCTATGTGATGCAATCTAGATTGTGATGTCTATGTTGTCCAACCTAGAATGTGCAGTAATGTGCAGTAAAGGCCATGCGAATCATGAGGTGCCATATAAGTTGCGCGCTATATGTGGGGGCGGTCTATGTGATGCACTCGAGGTAAAGCAATCGATGTGGGATAACATATAGTGTGCAATCCATGCTTTGCATCGTACGTGAGGCAATCTAGGTGGTCGAATTTGCTTTGCCGAACTGGAAGTTGTCAACTCAACTGCTCGCGCAATCATCCCACCCACCCGCCATTTGGTTTGCAAAACCCATGCGGCGGCGATTGCCCCGGATGCTCGTCGCTGGCTGGCGCATCGCCGCGGCCGCGCTAGCGCGCATGTTCGCGCTCGAAACGGCCAGCTAGTTTGGCGCGACCGACGCCGCCGCGGTGGCGCTGACCGCTGGGCGCTTCCCAACAGGCACTGCGAGTCGGCGATTTGGGCGGGCGCGGTATCATGGCAACGTCGGGAAAAGTAGACGCACGCAAGTATCATTGCAGCGATGCTGGTAGCGATTCCTGACGACGACGACGGCGGCCAGTGACGGCGCCGATGCTGATCACGCCGGCGACGATGAGGGCGTCCTCGCGTCGGTGTTCAAGGTTTCGGAAACAATCGACATGCGCGCGCGGCCGACGCTCGAAAGTGGCGCGCATGGTACTATTTGACACGGGTCGTGCCCCCCCCCCCCAGCTCGCGCGCAAAGGCTTTTGAGTGATTGTGGCATGCGGCGCAAGAGGCCCTTTTGGCATAAATGTGATGCAAATTATGAGAAGCCGTCTGTCGTGTCAAGAATGTGCATGACCGCGAGCGCAGCTTTTGGTGTGAAAGCGGATGTTGCAAAACCGTGTGCGCGTGTGTGTTTGTACGTGTTCGGGACAATCGGTTTTGAAACTATTCTGTTTATATATAAATATAACGACAACGAATTCGGCATGCGCGCCCGAAGACGCGCGCGTGTGCACTTCGTCCCGTTGCTCGCACGTGATTATTGCGACTGTTCGCGCGAAAAAAAAGAAGGTATTCTTGCAATTTGCACATGCGCTCGATAGGCTCGCGTGGGATCTTGTTATGAGATTCCCGTTATAGAAAATAGCTTCCCTACGCATACGCAAGAGCTTGCACGTAAGCTCCTGGTTGGAAACGATGTGCTGCTATTTGTTGCCAGGACACTCGATTCTGAAATTTTCACCTCACGCAGGGTGTTTTTTTGTTGTTGTGTTCCTTCCTGTAATTTTTTCTCTCAGGGTGATTCATGTTTGCCTTGGCCTGGTTGGCGCGGTACGATCTCTTCTTTAGGATGGACGGTTGGGGCAAAATCATATGTTAATTTGAATACGACAAGTGGAACCGTTATTTTCGGGGGGGGGGTAAATCGTGGCATTCGCTAGGAAAGAAAATGAATGCGAAGCAATGGATGTGATGCAAGCCGTGTTGTTCAATGCATATTGTGTAACCCATGCTGTGCAATTTTTGCGAAACATATGTGGCGCAACACATGTCACATGTTGCGCAACCAGTGTGGGGCAGTCCATGTGGTGCAGCCTGCGTCGTGGAATCAGTCGTGTGCAATATATGTCATGCGACCTAGGAGGAAACATTTATGGGGCGCAATATACGTTGAGCAACACATGTTGTGACATAGTGGTGGCTCAGTTTATAGTGTGCGATAGATTGTGTGCGTTCGATGGTGTGCATTATATGTGGTGCCATATGTGCGGTGCAACCAAAGTGGTGCAATCCATGTTTTGCGATGTGTGTATTGTATATTTCATGTTTGTGTGAAATCTAGGTTGTACAACCTTTGGAGTGGTGCAAGCTATCTTGTGCATTCTATGTGGGGCGGCGGCGGCGGCAACACACGCGGCGGCCGACGGACATGCTCAGACGACGGGCTGCGACGAAGTGGCGACGGGGCGCGACGGCGACTACACAACCGCCAACACGGCAAACGGGCCCACACGACGGGCGGCTACGGGGCGGTGACGTCGGCTACATAAGTCGCCAGGCCAGCAGGCAGGCCCAGGCGACGGGCGGCGACGAGGCGGCGACGGGGCCGGGACGGTGGCCACGTAACCGCCAGACCGGCAGACAGGCCCAGTGTGTCAGACCAGGGGCGGGAACTCCTACGCGCAAGCGATGTTAGGGGATTTTCCGTATCGGAGACGCCTACGGCGAACCAACGCCGCCCCTTGCTTTTTAGAATCGCCCATGTGGCCGAGCGCTGTGGCAATCATTCCGCCAAGCAATCGGACGATGTGTTTTCCCAAGCGTTGTGGAAACCCTTTGGGAAACACTTGGGGGAGGATGACGGGAAAGACCAGGAGGAGGAGGAGGAGGAGGAGGAGGAGGAGGGGGAGGAGGAGGAGGAGGAGGAGGTGGAGAAGGAGGAACAGGAGGAGGAGGAGGCATCTTGGGAGCCTCTGGGAACACTCTTGGGGCCTCCTGGGAGCTTCCTGGGAGCCTCTTGGATGCATCTTGGGAGCCTCCTTGGGCCTCTTGGGGGTCTTTGGGGGCTGCTCGGGGGCCTCTGTGGCCGTCTTGGTGGGCTGACGCCGCCGCTGCACCAGGGCCAGCGAAGGCGACGACGACGACGACGCCGACGACGGCGACGGCGTCGACGAGGGCGACGGCGTCGACGAGGGCTTTTTGGGACAGTACAACGCTTGGTAAGATCTTGGGCGAGATTCTGCCCGGATTTTTGCGGACTGTGAGCTTCCCCGAGGTTCGAGGATCGTCATGTTTTGATTTTTGTTCGTACTTTGTGGGCTTCCAGGCAAATTAGCTTCTCGCCGCCACGGGTGGTTTCCTTCGAAGTTGGAGGAGGAGGAGAAGGAGGAGCAAAAGGGAGACGGAGGAGGTTGAGGAGGAGGAGGAGGAGGAGGAGGAGGAGGAGGAGGAGGAGGAGGAGGAGGAGGAGAAGGAGGGGAGAGGAGTGGGGGGGAGAGGGGGGGAGAAAGGAGGAGGACGGGGGGGGAGGAAGAGGATGTGGAGGAGGAGAAAGAGGAGGATGAGGAAGAGGGATGCCTTTCTCCGAGTGTTCCGTCCATCCAGAGCGGCCCGGTGCTCGCGCGGAGTTGTTGTTCCGTTTGGTGAGCCATGCAGCCTGGACAGGCGGACGAAGACGAGGAGGAGGAGGAGGAGAGGAGGCGGAGGAGGAGGAGGAGGAGGAGGAGGAGCGGAGGTGGAGGAGGAGGAGGAGGGGGAGGAGAGGAGGAGGAGGAAAGGGAAGAGGAGGAGGAGGTGGAGGGGGAGGAGGGGACGAGGAGAAAGAGGAGGAGGAAGGGGAGGAAGAGGAGCGAACGAGGAAGGGAGGAGAAAGAGGAGGAGGAGGAGGAGGAGGAGGAGGAGGAGGAGGAGGAGGAGGAGGAGGAAGGAGGAAGGAGGAGGGAGGAGGTAGGAAGCCGACGAGGAGGTGTGGTTTTCGGCCTCCTCGGGCCTCTTGGGGGCGAGGAGCGCCCCAAAGCTTTTCGAACCACGACCTTCGCAAATTGACGAAAATCCGAGGTGCCCTCAGACTCCGACCGCCCCGTCCGTTGCGAGGTACCCAAAACAGCCCATGAGAGCCCCAAAACAGCCCGAGAGAGACGCCCCAGGCGTCCTGTGGGGCCCGCGACCCCCCCCCCTAGACGGCTTAAGAAGCCCCAAAAACGGCCCACGGGACCCCCGACAGCCTCAGCGAGGCCCACGAAGGCCCCCAGACGCCTAAGAGCGCCCCAAGAGGGCCCGAGATGGTTTGAAGATGGCCGGAGAGGGCCTCAAGAGGGCCTGCAAAATGCAAAATTCGGCCCATTCCTTTCGTAGAGCGAACCTTTTCAGCGTATTCGATTGCTTCGTCTTCACAGTGCCCCTGACGCCCCCGAGGAGCCCCAAGACGGCCCAAGAGGGACTCAAGATGGCGTACGAAAGCTACATACAAGCCAGCCCAAGAGAGCCCCAAAAGGCACCCAGCAGAGCCACGACGGGGGCCCAGAAGAGCTGCCTAGAGATTCTGGGGAGGCCTCTTCCGCAGCGTCCGAAATCATGTTCCCGGAAGCCTCTCTGGGAACATAATTTCAAGGTTCCCAAGGCGCCCAAGAGGGCCCTCAGGCGGCCCCAAAAAGTCTTAGCAGGACGCCCAAAAAGGCCCGGAAGGACATAGTTCGCTGATTTGTGCGACATCTTGTTGGTTTGCTTGCACGCGGAGGAGAAGGAGGAGGAGGAGGAGGAGGAGGAGGAGGAGGAGGAGGAGGAGGAGGAGGAGGGAAGAGGGGAGGAGGGGAGGAGGAGTGGGGGGAGGGGAGGGGGGGAGAGGAGGGGGACGGGGGGAGGAGGACGGACGAGGGCGGAGGAGGAGGGAGGAGGAGGAGGAGGAGGAGGAGGAGGAGGGGTGGAGGAAGATATGGACGGGAGGAGGAGGGGAGGAGGAGGAAGAGAAAAAGGGAGGCCTCCGCAGAGTGTACCCTTCGTCCGATGTGGCCCAGTGCTTGCGCGGCGTTGCGGCGCCGTCTGGTGAGCCATGTAGGCTGGGCAGGAGCAGGAGGAGAGGGAGCAGGAGGAGGAAGAGGAGGAGGAGGAGGAGAAGTGAGAGGAGGAGAAGGAGAAGAGGAGGAGGAGGAGGAGGAGGAGGAGGAGGAGGAGGGCGGACGAGGACGAGGACGAGGACGAGGACGAGGACGAGGACGATGAGGGGGAGGAGGAGGAAGGAGGAGGAGGAGGAGGGAGGAGGAGGAGGAGGAGGTTGAGGTGGAGAGGAGGAGGAGGCGGAGGAGGAGGAGGAGGAGGAGGAGGAGGGGGAGGAGGAATATCATAGTAATAAGAAAGGGGGAGGAGGAGGAGGGAGGAGGAGGAGGAGGAGGAGGAGGAGGAGGAGGAGGAGGAGGAGGAGGAGGAGAGAGATGGGAGGATGATGATGAGGAGGAGGAGCAACTGGGGGGGCGGAGGAGGAGGAAGAGGACGAGGAGGAGGAGGAGGGAGGAAGAGGAGGAGGAGGAGGAGGAGGAGGAAAAGGAGGAGGAGGATGAGGGGGAGGAAGAGGAGGAAAATGAAGGACATGATGAGGAGGAACACTCAGAAGAGGAGGCGGAGGAGGAGGTGAAGGAGGAGGAGGAGGAAGAGGAAGGGCATGATGATGAGGAAGACGAGGAGGAGAAGCAGGAGGAGGAGGAGGAGGAGGAGGAGGAGGAGGAGGAGGGGGGAAGAGGAGGACGAGGAAGAGGTGTAGTTTTCGGCCTACTCGGGCCGCCCGCGGGCGAACCACGACCCGCGAATCCCGACGAAGAACTGAAGTGCATTCAGCCTTCGACCCCGCCGTCGGTTGTTGGGCCGTTGCCCTGGGCTAAGCTAGAGCCTAAGCTCGCGCGTAGCGCGCGCGTGGTTCTAGTGTATATGTATACATGTATGCATGTATGTATGTATGTATGCATGCATGCATGTATGTATCTATGTATTGGCCTTTTGGTAGGTTCGGACGTGCGCCTCCCCCCCCCAAATTGGCGTTTACTCAACAGACCTACCTTGTTAGATCCCTTCCTCAAATGCTTTCGCCAACGGGCTTCGCTGGTCGAGGTGTTTTTTACGAGTGTGGTCATTCTGCCTTCTAAAGATTGCTAGAGAGGCCCAGCGAGACCCGAAGGGAACGGCATATATGTATCAGGGTTGCCCCTCCCCGCCAATGCACATGGGATCGAGCCCCGCCCCCTCCCCGCTGAATGGGTACGCCCGTGATCCTCGCGACGGCGTTGCCAATCGGATCGCCCCCCTGCCCCCCCCTGTGGTCGTGGCCCTGTGGGCGTGACGTGGTGGAGTGTGCCCGTGCACCCTCCCCCCCTCGTGGGTGTGGGGTGGTTCTGCGTCTACGTCGGCGTCGGCGTCCTCATCGGCGTCGGCGTCGTCGTTGGCGGCAGCGGCGGCGGCGGCGTCGTCGGCGTTGGCGTCGGCGTCGGCGTCGTCGTCCCCACCCATCCCAACTGGGGGGGGGCAGTGGAACCCTTAGACCTATCCCATCTCGGGGGGAGGGGTTGTGAACTCCCGAGTCACCCCACCCAGGGTGGGAAGTCGGCGAGTGGTGCCAAGGCCACGCCGGTGGGGATGGGTATCGGCGAAACGATGCGCTCGCAAGGTGCTGGAACGATTGAGCTGCTTGGAGCAGCAAGCTCCGCGCGGCGAGGTCGTCGGCAGGCTGCAGCAGCAGCTGCAGCAGCTGCAGGACGAGGTCGCGCGGCGCCTCGCCCAGGATTCGGGCGGCTCCCGCTCCGCGGCGGAGGCCGAGGCGAGGGTGGGCGCCGTTTCGCAGCAGGTGGCCCTCCTGGCGGCACGGCTCTCCGAGGTTCGAAGGGGTCAACAACCAGAAGAGGAGGAGGAGGAGGCGGAGGAGGAGGAACATGGGTGTCGGTATATTTTCTTCGACCAGGGGTAGCGGCAGCGCTCCGCGGCTACGGCAGCAGCAACGACGAGGGATGGGCAGCGGCGCCACCGATCGCTCGCCACCTGGCTGGGTTCGGTTCGACATCCTTGTCAGACCTCGCCCCAGGGCAGGTCCGTGGGGTCGCGGCACCGTTGCCCGCTCCCTCCCCCGCAGACAGAACGAGGTGGGAACAACTTTGTCGGAGGGCCCGCGAGGGTTCTCGTGTCGGCGCAGGCGGCGCCGCCGACTCGCGTCCTCCGCGCGCCAAGGGAACGAGGGCCCCGGCGCCGACCGACACCCGCGCCCCAGACGTTCGAGCGTTTATACGTTACTAGGGCGGGGAGATCTGTACATACCCGCCACCGCCAGCTAGGCCCACCTGGGCCACGGAGCGGTGCATGTGCCCGCCTGGCCTGGCCATGGGGACGTGTGCATCGCTCCTGTGCCAAGGATGGGCTTGGCCGCGGCGGTGGACATGTATGGATTATGTCTCGCTAACTCCCTGAAGTACGGAATTCTGTACATCCTGCAACATCGCGAAGGATGGCGACCAGAGCCCTGGACCCCACCCTTCTGCGGCATGTGCCGAGCCGGATCGATCTGTGAGGGTCCTGAGGCCCAAACTGGGGCGGGAGCGCCCGGCTCGAAGCGATGCAGACGCCCGGTTCTCCGGGAATCTCGCTTCTCTCTCAAGGAGGAGGGCACGTCGTCGTCCTCCAAGCGGGACGCATGGTACTTAGTACGTCCTTCTGCGTCCCACGTTTGCTTGCAAGTCCGGTTCTGCTACGCGCCCAGGTGGAGGGCGGACTGGACTTCGCCCGGGAGGCCGTGGACGCCTCTGGCATATCGGAGGCGGGCGGCGTCAGGCTGCCGCTGCGGCCAGGGGCTCCGGCGGGCGCTGCCGCCGCCAGCGCGGAGATTCAGGACCTTCCGATCTAGGCCTCCAGATTTTAGGGCCCCTGGAGGCCGAAAGCGGGTGAAAACCTTCCGTCGGGATTTTGTTCACGACGCCAGCATGTTTGGGAACCGCTCGTCGTCGGCGTCGTCCGCCCCGTCCGGGGGGAGGGCGTCGGGCAAGGCGTCGGGTTGGGCGCGCGCGCGAGGCCAGCGCAGCGGCCGCGCCCGCGGGGGCTGCGGCGAGGCCTCGCGCATCGGCGCGCGGGCGCTCCCAGACGGGGTCCGCAGCCGATGGAGTCGGAGGCTCGCGCCGCATCGCCGACGTAGCGGAGCTGCGGCTCGAAGTGGAGGCCGAATTTCTCCGCGCAAGCGGCGCCGAGGCATCGCCGGTGTCGCCCATTTATCGGGGATGCATCGGCGATGCATCAGCGATGCGGCGCGATCCTCCGCCCCCATATACGCGGACCCCATCCAGGAAGCCTCTACCAGAGGAGAGGGGCGTACTCTTTTTTGCTCCGTGGTGGGCGTGGTCGGGTCCCCCCCCGCTGACCGCGAGGGACCTCCAGAGCAGAGGGGCGTGCTCTGCGCTCCGCGACTCATAAGTTGACAACTAGCTCCCACACCAGTGCGACGGGCTCCTGGTGTGTGCTGTCGGATGGGGCCCTAGGGGTCCAGCAACCCGCACCCCTACCAATAGCGCCCTCGTCTCTTTGCCATTCCCTTCCCCACTCCTTCCTATAGGTCTGAGTGCCCAGACCCCCGTCGTCGTGATTTTTCACCACTTCCTGAGATATGGATTCGTGTTATTACTCAGGCCGCGTCGACTCCTCCTCCCTCCTCCTCCCCGACCTCCTCTTCTTCAGATTCACACTCACAGTCAAACATCACACTCAGACTCACTCGAGCTCAGGCTCGCTCATGCTCAGACCCACTCACACTCAGACCCATTCGTACTCATACTCGTATTCCGACACTCGCACTCAGACTCACTCAGACTCAGACTCACTCAGATTCAGACTCACTCTTCACCACTCAGGCTTCATCGCGTCACTTCCTCAGACAGACTCGCTCATCTTCAGAATACTCATATTCGGACTCACTCGTTCTCAGACTCAATCACATCACTCCCTCCCTCGGACTCGCTCATACTCAGATTCACTCTTCCCTTCACGCAGACTCAGTCACATGACTTCCTCATTCAGATTCACGCGGGCTCAGAATGGCTTACGTACACCGACTGTGAGGATGTCACAGGCGAGGTGCTTGTTCCAGCATTCCAAGGGCCAAGGGGGAGCTGCCAGTGGGTATCTCATTCCTCCGTTCGCGCCCGTTCGTGGGAAGGTCTCAGGCGGTTTACTTGTTTGGGTCCCCAGCATCCCTTGCTTTCAGAGCTGATTGTGAGGATGTCTCGGGCGGTTCGCCTCTTTCCGCCTCCCAGATTTCTGTGCCGGTGCTCCAGTGCCCACTGCGATGTGGCAGGCGTGGCACTTGGGCACCCCAAGGGGGAGCGGGCCAGGGGTAAGGACACTCCCGGGTTCGCGTCCGGATTGTGGGGATGCGTCCGGATGTGCTTCTGTCCCCCACAGCATTTTGTTTCTTCGAGTATTTCGCCGCCTAGTTCCTGTCCAAGGCGTTCCTGTGCAAGCACATCGTCTTCGGCACCGCCTGATTCTGGGGCTTTGCCCCCTCCTGGCCTTGACGTGAGGCCCCTCCTTCTGCCCCCCCTCTTTGTTAATTCAAGCTTCGCGCGGCCCGCTTAGCTTCGACCGGAAGAGGTGCGCTCTCGACCCGCGAATCACAGAAGTGTTTCTGTGCCCCATATGTATTGTATATATAGATATATCTATAGATCTGGTCCAGTGTTCATTGCGATATGGCAGGCGTGGCACATGGGCACCCCAAGGCAGAACCGCCAGGGGTGGGGACGCTGCAGGATCTGCGATCCGATTGAGGGTGGATATCTCAGGCGGCTTGCCTGTTTCTGACCCCTCCCAAGACGTGTCGTTGGATCTGTGTGCTCCTCACTCACTTACTCACTCACCTCCTTCCTCTTTGCCCTTCTCGGACGCACTCATTCGCACTCGGCTTACTCATCAGCCCCTTTTCCTCACTTGGACTCACTCGCCACATTCAGAGTTGCTCATATACGTACTTGCTCATTCCCAGTCTCGCTGTAGCTCAGTCTCAGCCACACCTAAACCAACTCACACTTAGACCCACTCGCACTCAGACTCACCAGCCCTCAGGCTCACTTTAACTCAGACTGCCTCGCACCCAGGTTCACTCATATTCGGATTCGTTTTCATCACGTCCAAACTCAGACTCACCCGCACTCAGGCTCACTCGCACTCAGACCCACTCGCACTCAGGCTCACTCGCACAAAGCCTCGCTCGCACTCAGACTCTCTCACAGTCAGGCCCACTCGTAATCACACGGACCATATCCAGACTCGCTCACATTCAGGCTCGATCATACCCAGATCCATTCACACTCCGACGTGCTCTGATTCAGATCACCCACGCTCAGATTCACTCGCGTTAAGGCTGACACACAATTTGTTACCGAGATGTAGCCAGCGTGGCTTTTGGGCACCCCCAAAGGCCAGCAGGCGCTGCGAGCAGCACGCCAGAAAGCGGGCGTAGCAACGCCATGAGCGCTTGTGTGAGTTACCGCGCGGAGAAAGCACGAGGAACTCCCCCTCGCTCGTCCACTTGTGTTTCCCTCGTCTCTCCTGAAAGATGTCCAGAGCAGTAGGAGGAGCAGGAGGAGGTCACTGAAGTCGTCGCTGTCGTCGTCATTGCCGCGCCTGTCGTCTACGCAGACTCGCTCTCACATCCAGATGCTCATAGACAGAGCTTCTCACCGACAAGTGATAGGAGTACGGGGTGCACATATGACCTTTGGGGATCTCCACATCGAGCAATTCCGTCACGCGACCTTCAGATGTCTCGACCCCTAACCTGGGGCCGGTTTCTCGTCGCAGGTCGCTCGTTGACGGCCCCGAGGCCTGGTCGGGGCCCCCAGAAGCCAGACACGGCGAGAGAACCTCCCCTCGAGTTTTTGTTTGTCATGACTCGCGGGGGTCTGCGCGCGTGTCTTTCCTGGATTCGTGGTTTGGGCGCGGGAGGAGGAGGAGGAGGAGGAGAGAGGCGGAGGAGGAGGAGGAAGAGAGGAGGAGGAGGGGGGGGGAGGAGGAGGAGGAGGAGGCAGGAGGAGGAGGAGGCGGAGGGGAGGGGAGGAGGAGGAGGAGGCGGAGGAGGAGGAGGAGGAGGAGGAGGAGAGGAGGAGCAGGAGGAGGAGTAGGAGGAGGAGGAGGAGGAGGAGGAGGAGGGGAAGAGGAGGAGGAGGAGGAAAAAGAAGAGAGAGGAGGAGGGAGGAGGAGGAGGAGGCGGAGGAGGAGGAGGAGGAGGAGCAGGAGGAGGAGGAGGAGGAGGAGGAGGCGCGCGCCCCCCACGCTGCAGCGCTGGGGACCATCGCTGCGCCGCGATATCGGCGTCGCGCGCTCCAGGGGGGGGGGGGGCGGCGCGCTCCCCTGGCGCGCGGTGGCTGACCGCCGCGACGGCGGGGCGGTGGGCGGGGGTGGCGTCCGAGTCCCGCCCCCCCCAGAAGACCCTTTCGAGTCAAACAGAGATCCAGCGTATTGAAAAAATCAAGACAGAGGTTCTGCTAAGTTTTTGGCATTTGGGGGCCCTCGCCGGGCCCCGGGACCGTCAAAAAACGGCTCAGGACGAAGGACCGGTCCCGGGGAGTGGGTCGGGACTTCCAGGGAGCCCGTTTTGAAAAAATCAAGACATCGAAGGTTCGAGTCAAGAAGAGATCACGACGGGTGGTTTCTGAGCTTCTGGGGGTCGACGTGACGAGGAGCTCCTGGCGTCGGGGGTTCCCGGGCCCGGCGCTGGCAGAGCAGGGCTCGGCGCCGCGCGGGACGCCCGATCGGGGATCCCTGTCAGGACGCGCCCCCGCGGGACGGGTCCGGGGAGCAGCGGTTCCGGTACCCAGACATCCGGCTGCTCCAATTTTGTCGACCGGACCACTTCCCCGGGGCCAGTTTTTTCGTCCTGCGTCGTTTTTTGACGCTTCTGAGGCCCGTCGAGGGTCCCCAGAGGCCGAAACTTACTAAAATTCCACCGCTCCAATTTTTTGGAGCGTCGGGTCTTTGGGTAAGTTGTGTGTAGTGGGCGCGTCAAATGAGAAACCGGCGTGTCGGCAGGTGCCCCATGCACAGAAGTTCGGCCCCAGAGACCCACAGAAACAGCCGGTCTGCGTAGAGGTGGCGTTTCTCCTCGCAGCGCCTACATTGGGGCTCGGAGTGCCGATGCCGATTCCTTTCGCTCGTCATCGTCCCGGGCATCCCGGCGGCCCTCGTCACCACGGCTAGATCCGCCTGTGAATCCCAGTCAGGACTTACATGGGAGGGGTCCGGGGAGTATAGCGGTTTTAGGTAGTTTCCGAGGGGTCCGGGGAGTATAGCGATTTTAGGTAGTTTCCGAGCCATGCGACGTTTGGTGTTTTTTTGTCCGTGCGGAGTCCCCCGACGTCACGATCAGGTCAGGTCACGCCCGTGCGCCGGAAGGCGAGCCCATGAAGGGCGCAGGAGGTGGCAATCGGCAGCGTGCAATACACGCGCGCGCCACATCTAAGGAAAACAGTACGTGCGTCTAAAAAGGGGAGGACTCATTCACCTGGCCTATCGTTGTGGTGGTGCGCTCGAGCGTGAAGCAGATATTTAGGTAGCAGTGTCAGACAGCAGGGCGTTCACACAATGTTTGCCCCTCTGTTGCTTTGGATCAAGACGGGGAGTGGAGAGAAGACATACTCCCTCAAATGTTCAATGATACTGGCAGCAAAAGTTTTGAAACTCCGCGGCTCGCTCCTGAAAAACATCTGGGGACCAAGAACGCTATTGAGAGCCAACCACGCGGCCGAAAGCTTCCACGCTTCGAAGCCCGAAGCCCCGGACGTAATGAATTTGTCATAACGTCGACCCCCATAGGTCTCGACCCCTTCCCTGGGACCAGTTTCTCGTATTCAGTCGTGTTTTGACGGTCCCGAGGCCCCGTAAGGGCCCCGGCCGAAACCAGCGAGAACTTTCACGTCGTGATGTTTTCACGACGCGATGGGGTTTGGGATGTCCAGTACACCCCAGGACAGGCTCTGTCACGTCGCCGAGCACCTCGAGGCCGAGCAGTCGGAGCTCCACGACCTCCGCCAGCGCCTGGAGACGGTGGAGCGGCAGCTCGCAGAGGGCAAGCAGGAGGCGCCGCGCGCGCCGGGCGCTGGCGCCAGCGTCGAGGCTGCTGAGCTCAAGTCGGTTATGTCCTTCTATTGGAAGAATATTCAAAAATAATCGGGGTCCGATGTTCTATGGTTTTTGACTACGTACACTCTAGGACATTGTTTCACTATTTCTTGTTTTTCTCCTAGATCCGCCTGTATGGGGGAACGTGCTGACATGCTCGACCTAGAAGGCGAAGCTGCAGGAAGAGCTGGAGGCGCTCTGCGAGCGGCTGCGCGGGCTGGAGGAGGGCGCCGAGCTCGAGGGGGGGCTGTCAGAGGAGGAAAAGGTACGGTAGGTTCGTATCATGTCGACCGGCGGCGACCCCGCCAGCGGCGTTCAAGTTTGAACGCCGCGGGCGACCCAGAATCGTTCGATGTGGAACGATGTGGACGTTTCGGAAACAGCCGATCGTTCAAGGTTGAACGATCCCCGCGGTGTCAGAAACCAACGCCGAAGTCGGCACGACATGAACCTGCCGTACCCACACCGCTACTCTTCCCTCGTTTTCCCCTTTCTGGTCAGAACGCACCCCTGGAGAGGTCCGGGGAGTCGTCACCGGCGGGAGGCTCCCCCAGCTTGCGTCGGTGACCTCCCCCCCCGACCTGTGCTCACCCAAGCTCAGAGAGTACCCATACCTCTACCCTTTCCTCGTTTCCCCCTTTTTGGGCCTCCTGGGAGGCCCTCGTCGCCACCGCTGGATTCGCCTCGAAATTCTGGTCGGAACGCAGGTCCGGGGAGCAGCGGTATCGGCACCCGTTGGTCTCCCCAGGCTGGGGGCGCTCGCGAGGCGGGTGCTGTCGCTGGAGGAGGGCGCCGAGCCCACGGCCGGACTGGAGGCGCTGTCGGAGCAGCTCGGCGCGCTGAAGGGCGAGCTGGCGGCGCTGTCAAAGCGGCAGGGCGCGCAGGAGGAGGGCGCCGTGCCCAAGAGCGAGCTGGAGGCGCTCTCGGGGCGGCTGTCGTCGCTGGAGGGCGCGGGGTTCCCTCGGGACCTCAGCGAGCTGCGCGGGGAGGTCTCGCGGCTGGCCGGGCAGGTCCAAGGTTTGCAGGGCACAGCCGCGTCGAAGGAGCCCTCCGACGAGCTGCGGTCCGAGCTGGACGAGGTGAAGGGCAAGCTGGAGCAGCTCGAGGAGGCCCTCGACTCGAAGGTCGGCAGTGTCAGGGACGAGACGTCAGAGGCGAAGGCGACGGCTGCCGAGCTGTCTGGCAAGGTCTCTGAGATGCAGGAGGATGTCAAGAGACTCGCGGCGCAGCCCTGGAAGGATGCCCTCGACGAGCCCAAGGCCAAGCTAGAGCACCTCGAGGAGCAGCTCGGCGCGCTGAAGGGCGAGCTGGCGGCGCTGTCAAAACGGCAAGGCTCGCTGGAGGAGGGCGCGGAGCCCAAGGCCATGCTGGACGCGCTGTCGGGGCAGCTCGGCGCGCTGAAGGGCGAGCTGGCGGCGCTGTCCGAGCGGCAGGGCGTGCTGGAGGAGGGCGCGGGGCCCAAGGGCGAGCTGGAGGCGCTCTCGCGGCGGCTATCCAGCTGCCTGCGGCAGGTCCCGCCCCCGCGCCAGGGACCCTGCATGGCGACTGCTCGTTCGGGGGGCGCACACGAGGCCGCGACGTATGGCATCTCGTGCCCCGAGGCCTGGGAGGGCCGTAACGTATCACACGCTCTTCCGCCTCGTGTCGGGGGTTCCCGCTTCGTCGTCGTCTTCCTCCCGTCGTTCTGTCCTTCTCTCGGGCTCATGGTTGGCAGTCTTGTGGGCCCCTTGGGCGAACTACTTGGGGTCGCCTTGGGTCTTTCTTGTGCCGTCAGATCCCGCCTTGTGTCTCTCCAGAGGCCCTCTTGGGCCAGTTTCGTGCTTTCATGGGTCCGTCCTGGGCTGTCTAGGGGCCCTCTCGGGCTGTCTCGTGGCCGTGTTTGAGGTGAATGATTGGTTACGGTAGGGTCGTGTCGTGTCGACCGGCGGCGACCCCGCCGCCGGCGTTCAACGTTGAACGCCGGCGGCGGCCCAGAATCGGTCGATGTTGAACGATTGGACATTGCGGAAATGGCCGATCGTTCAAGGTTGAACGATCCCCGCGGTGTCAGGAACCAACGCCTGGGTCGACACGACACGAACCTGCCGTAATGTTTAGCTAATGTGTGCCGTCTTGCGCTACATTGGAGGTTGATAGTATTGGTTGGAGGTTCAGGAAGCCTAGCAAGGTGAAGACGCTCATGACGTTCGACATTCGAAGGATCACACATGATTTTGGTCTCTTCGGGCACCTTGTGTCTTGTGGTCCTCTTGGGCCATCGTGGGGGGCCTCCAGGGCCGTCTCGAGGCCATCTGAGGCCGCCATGAGGCCGTCTCTGGCCGTCTTGGGGGCATCTCGGACCACCTCGGCGGCCTTGGCTGCCTGCCTCGGCCGCCGTCCTGGAAGCTCGGGGGCCAGAATCTGCTGTTACTTCAGGGACCGTGATCTCGGAAGCGCGGCAACGTACTTTTTGTCTGCAAGGCATCGTGCTTCGTGGCCTCTCGAGCGGGGGCCTCGGACTGCGCGCATCCACTGCATCCTGACACGGGTCGTGGCCCTGGGAGCGCAGATCCACCGATTGTCAGGAGGGAGCGGTGCCTCGGCAGCGCGGCGCTGCTGCCCTTTGCACAAGAGCAAGCGAGTGGGGATGCATTCGAGCAACAGTGATGAGAGGGGGGGTAGCCTTCAGAGACGACCACAGAGTCCCTACCAGACAGCCCTCGGCATTCGACATCGCCTCCACGTGCTAGAGGCACGATGGCGGGTTGTCGCTGGAGGAGGGCGCCGAGCCCACGGCCAGGCTGGAGGCGCTGTCGGAGCAGCTCGGCGCGCTGAAGGGCGAGCTGGCGGCGCTGTCCAAGCGGCAGGGCGCGCTGGAGGAGGGCGCGGGGCCCAAGGGCGAGCTGGAGGCGCTCTCGGGGCGGCTGACGTCGCTGGAGGGCGCGGGGGCCTCCCGGGACCTCGGCGAGCTGCGCGGGGAGGTCTCGCGGCTGGCCGGGCAGGTCCAGGAGCTCCAGGGCTGGCCTTGGCTGGAGTGGCCTTTGGTGCGGGTCCACGGGGCCCCCCCCGATCTCGAGGAGGAGGAGGACCGGGAAGGTGCGGCCTCCGTGGGAGGCCTCGTCGCCACTGCACCGGAGTCGCCCCGAAATTCTGGTCAGCACGCACCCCTGGGAAGGTCGGGCTGGACGAAAGGGGGGGATTGGGAAAGGAGGGGTTACGAACTTTGCTGCATGCAGCTGGGAGGCGCCGGGAAAATCAGCTACGTGAGCTGATTCTCACCCCCCCCCTTTGCTACCCCCCCCTTTCGCCCGACCCGAGAAGGGTCTGGGGAACCGCGGTGTCGGTACTTCTTGGTGTCCCCCGCGATCGCTGGGCTCGCTGCGGTGGCAGCGGTCCGCGCGCTCGGGCGCCTGGCCGCGGCCGGCGCGCCCCGCGCCTTCCGCCGCGCACCACGGGCCACTCTGGAGGAGGAGGAGGAGGAGGAGGAGGAGGAGGAGGAGGAGGAGGAGGAGGAGGAGGAGGAGGGGGAGGGGGAGGGCTGGGGTCGCTCCTGCGCGTGGCCGGTCTCCGAGGAGCTGCGGCACGAGGTGAGGGGCAAGCTGGAGCAGCTGGAGGGGGAGGCGTCGGGGGCGAAGGCTGCGGCCGCGGAGCTGGCAGGCAGGGTCTCCGAGGTGCAGGAGGGCGTCAAGAAGCTCGCGGCGCAGCCCTGCAAGGAGGTCCTGGACGGGCAGCAGGAGGCCCTGGAGGGCCTCCGCGGCAGGCTCAGCGGGCTCGAGGCCGGCGGCGCGCCCATCGGTGCCTTGCGCGAGAGCCTGCAGGGTCACGCGGAGGAGATCGAGGCGGTGCGAGGGCGGCTGGAGGCCGTGGAGAAGCAGGGCCTCTCTGAGCTCGTCGAAGAGCTGAGGGGCGCTCACGGAGACCGAGGAGAAGAAGAGCTGGCACACACAGACTTTCGAGGGTCAGCGCGGATGTCTTGGACATGCTCTGGACCCCGCTGGCAGCGCCTCGGGCGCGCCGCCCCTGGCGCGCTTCGCGCCCCAGCGAGCGGGGGCATCTGGCGCAGGTCCAAGAGTTCCGCCTGGGCCCTCGAACGCTGGTTTATGTCATCATTCCGTCTCGTCTGCCCCCAGGAGAGCTCAAGGAGAGCGTCGACTCCGCCTCAGTCAGGGTGAGGGGCGAGCTGGAGGCTCTGTGCAGGCGTCTGGACGACCTTCCGGCGGCCGCGGCGTCGCTGAAGGTGCCCGAAAGCGGCGTCGAGGGGGGCGCGGCGCAAGAGCGACGTGCGGCCGAGGCGGAGGCCAAGCTGGCCGCTAGGATTCAGGCCGTCGAGGAGCAGCTGGTGTCCCGCCCGGCGCCCGCTGGCGATGCCAAGGCAACAGAGGAGGACAAGACAACCCCACCCCCCCGACAAGAAGTCTTTACCCGCGGGGTTGAACGTGGAACATTTGAAACAGCAGCTGGGGAGTCCGAACTTTTGTATCCTCTCCAAAGCTCCTATCGTAGCTCTGATTGTGAGGATGTCTCAGGCGAAACGCGATCCACACATCCTAACATCGATATTTCCTGAAAAAAGTTGATTATCCCGGCTGGACCCCGAACTTTATTTTCCCCGGTTGTTTATTCTCACCAGGTAATGGTTACCGATGCCGCTGCCAGTCGGGCCCGATTTGTGCTGGCTTCCTTGCCAGAGCGCACCCCAGGAGAGGTCTGGAGTGTAGCGGGTAGGATGCAACTCCTGGGAGGTCGAATTCAGCATCGGCTCTGGTATGTCCGTGGGCGGACACCGGCCCGCTCCAGCATAATTCCGTTCAATCCCGTTGAGTCCCGTTCTATCCGGCTTCATCTGGATCTTGAGATTGGTTCGGGCTAATCCGGCTTAGTGGGCCTTCAGTCGGGCGTAATAGTTTTGAGTGGAGGCCCTCTCATGAAATTACTTCCCGACAGCGGTGTCGGTACTTTTCTGTCCCCCCAGAGGCGAGGGCGGACGTGCAGGATAATCAGAGAGCATAACTACTGCACGCATCTAATTTCTCAGAGGTCCGCGCGACTTCCTTTTGATTGGCGCTGGGGCCCTCCTGGCGGCGCCTCCGGCGCCGCCCCTGGCGCGCTCCGGGCGCCAGGGACAAAGCGTCCGGCGCCGATCCAAGCTCTCCGCGCGGCCCGCGGAGAAGTTATGCTGGTGCCGTTTCTGATGGGCCTGCTTTCCTCCACCACCACCATAATTCGGGGGGGGGGAGTTCTTCCTCCTCCACCTCCTCCTCCTCCTTCTCCTCCTTCCCACCTGCAACTTATGGTGGTGGTGGTGGAAAATCGGCCCATCGGCTTCCTGTTCCTTCCAGGAGAAGGTGTCCGACCTCACCCTGCAACTGGCGCGGGAGCTGGAGGAGCTGGCCAGGCACGGGGAGGAGCTGCGGGGGGCCGCCAGCAGCGCCGCCGCCGCCGGGAGGGCCGCGACCCCCCGGGACGAGGGCGACGAAACGCTGCGGCCCCAGGATGTCGGGCAGTGGCAAGGAGGGTCACCACCACGCTCGGGGGCGTCCAAGAGGGGGGTGATGACTACGGTTAGGTCGGGCCTGTCCCCCTACAGAGGGATTCCGGACGAAAAATTCAACAGACCAACGACAAGACCCCCAAATAATAAGAAAATGCTGGACAAATCGTCCCCAGACTATTTTTGTCCCAACCATCCTGTGGTGTTGGGTCCTCGTTTTGAAGAGACAGCGCCCCGCGTCCAACCCACGCACTCCCCCTCCTCCTCCTCCTCCTCCTCCTCCTCCTCTCCTCTCTTTCCTCCTTCTCCTCCTCCTCATCCTCATCTCTCCTCCCCCTTCCCCCCTCCTCCCCCTCTCCCCCTCCTCCTCCTCCTCCTCCTCCTCCTCCTCCTCCTCCTCCTCCTCCTCCTCCTCCTCCTCCTCCTCCTCCTCCTCCTCCTCCTCCTCCTCCTCCTCCTCCTCCTCCTCCTCCTCTCTCCTCCATGCGTTTCATCCACCCAGTACGGCGCTTCGTGGCCCCATAGGGAGCTCCACTTAAGGCCTCAGGGCAGGGGGGGCTACCACATGCGTCCGCCACACCCAATACGGCATTTCGCAGCCCCATAGGGAGCTCCACCTAAGGCCCCAGAGGGAGGGTGCCACATGCGTCCGCCACACCCAGTACGGCGCTTCGTGGCCCCACCTGAGGCCCATGACGGGGGTACCACATGCGTCTGCCACCCAATACGGCGCTTGGTGGCCCCTTAGGGAGCTCCACCTAAGGCCCAAAAGGGGGGGGGGTACCACATGCGTCCGCCACACCCAGTACGGCGTTTCGTGGCCCCTATCGGGAGCTCCACCTAAGGCCCCAGGGGGGGTGCCACATGCGTCCGCCACACCCAGTACGGCGCTTCGTGGCCTCATAGGGAGCTCGCCACACCCAGTACGGCGTTTCGTGGCCCCATAGGGAGTTCCACCTAACGCCCCAAAGTGGGGGGTACCACATGCGTCCGCCACGCCCAGGACAGCGTTTCGTGGCCCCATAGGAAGCTCCACGTGCGGCCCCAGTGGGAGTGGCCACATGCGTCCGCCACACCCACTACAACGTTTCGTGGCCAGTGGGGCCGTCCGCATGCGTCCCGCACACCCATTTTGGCATTTTCGCTCACCCAGTACAGCGTTTCGTGGCCCCATAGGGAGCTCCACCGAAGCCCCCAATGGGACCGCCCGCGTGCGTCCCGCACGCGTAATTTGACATATTCACCCACCCAGTACAGCGCTTCGTCGCCCCAATGGGGGGCTCCACCGAAGCCCCCCAGTGGGACCGCCCACGTGCGCCCCCCACACACATTCAATTTGGCAGTTTCACCACCCCACTGCAGCGATTCGTGGCCCCATGGAAGCCCCACCGAAACCCCTAGTGGGACCGCCCGCGTGCGTCCCGCACGCGTAATTTGGCATTTTTACACACCCAGTGCAGCGCTTCGTGGCCCCAGTAGGAACTCCACCGGAGCCCCTTGTGGGACCGCACGCATGCGTCCCAGAAGCCCAATTTGGCACTTCCACATACCCAGTGCAACGTTTCGTGGCCCCATGGGGAGCTCCACCGAAGCCCCCAGTGGGACCGTCCGCATACGTGTCGGCCGCTCAGTTTGGCAGTTTCACCTACCCAGTGCAGCGTTTCGTGGCCCCGTAGGAAGCCCCACCGAAGCCCCCAGGGCCCCCAGTGGGACCGTCCGCATGCGTCACGCACATCCAATTTGGCACGTTCACCCACCCAGTACGGCTGTTCGTGGCCCCGTAGGGAGCTCCACCGACGGCCCCAGTGCTACCGCCAGCATGCGTTCTCCCCACCCAGTGCAGCGCTTCGTGGCCCCATGGAGAGCTTCACCGAAGGCCACGGGGGGGGGGGACGAGAGGAGGAGAAGGAGACGCGGGGACCGTTTCTCCGGAACGAGGACCCCACACCACAGGATGGTTAGGGAGAGAGAGCGAGAGAGAGAGAGAGAGAGGGAAAGAAAGAGAGAGAGAGAGAGAGAGAGAGAGACAGAAAACACACACACGAAAATACACACACACACACACGCACAGGCAACGCATATTTACAGATATAGAGGTAGAGGTACAGAGAAAGAGAGATGCCAAGAGAAAGAGAAAGAAAGCGAGGAATAACAACATAATGAGAGGGAGAGACAGAGATAATAGTTTGCGTTTGTATACCTATACGACCACCCTTCGGGTGATAAGGAGGTTCGGGGGGGGGAGGAACCAACGTCTCACTCGATCGGTCTCACTATCGATCTCAGTATAGGTCTCGCTCGATCGATCTCCCTCGATCGATCTCACAATCGATCTCACTCGATCTATCTCACAATTGATCTGACCATCGATCTCACAATCGATCTCACAATCGGTATCACATTCGGTCTCACTATCGATCTCACTATCGATATCACAACCGCTCTTACAATCAACGTCATCATCATCAACATCAACATCAACATCATCATCACCAACATCATCATAATCGGGACACCGTCCTCATCATCAACACCAACATAAACATTATCACGGTCATCAACATCATCTGGACACCGCCATCATCATCATCACCATCATCACAGTCATCAACATCATCATCATCATCAACAGCAGAATCGGGACACAGTCATCGTCATCATCATTATCAGCAGCATCATCATCGTGACACCATCATGATCACCATCGTTATCATCATCATCATCAGCATCATCATCATCATCGGGACACCATCACCACCATCTCATCCTCATCATCGACATCATCATCATCATCATCAACATCATCATCAGCTTCATCAGCATCATCGGGGCACCATCATCATCATTACCAACATCAGCATCAATATTATCATCATCATCACAATCATCATCATTATTCTTATCATCATCACCATCGGGTCGCCATCATCATCAACATCATCATCATCACCATCGGAATAATCATCATCATCATCATCGGGAGGCCATAATCATCATCAACCTCATCTTCATCAACACCATCATCATCGGGACACAATCATAATCAGCATCATCAACATCAACATCATCATACTCATCATCATCGGGACACCATCATCGTCATCATTGTGATCATCAACATAATCATCATGATCATCATCCTCATCATCGGGACACCATCAGCATCATCATCATCGTCATCATCATCATCATCATCATCATCATCATCGATTTCATCATCATCATCATCATCATCATCGGGACACCATCATCATCATCATCATATCATCATCATCATCGTCATCATCATCATCAGCATCACCATCATCATCATCGTCATCATCATTATCATCAGCAGCATCATCATCAGCATCACCATCATCATCATCATCATCATCATCATCATCATCATCATCATCTCATCATCTCACCATCATCATCATCATCATCATCATCATCATCATCATCTTCATCTTCATCTTCATCTTCATCTTCATCATCATCATCGCTGGACACCGCGGGACACCAGCGGAACGCCGCGGGGCACCGCGGGACACCGCGGGACACCGCGGGACACCGGCGGGACACCGCGGGCCCCCGGCCGCCCGGAAGGGAGTCATTTGGTCCGGCCGCGCCTCAGCCACACGGGACACCAGCGGGGACACCGGCGGGACACCGCGGGCCACCGGCCGCCCGGAAGGGAGACATTTGGTCCGGCCGCGCCTCAGCCACAGGAGACTTTTTCTCGCCCGCCCACGCAGCTTCGCCTCGCCCGCACGCACGGCACGCACGAACACGAAACCGAAATCGATTTCCCGGTAGGGGGGCTCTCCGTTCCTTTTCGATCTCACCCCCTCACCTCCGATACGTAATACACCTGTGTGCATACTTACCTTCCCCATTCACTGCTTTCATTTAGGGGTTTCTTACTTGTCTTACTAAGGAACTGCAAGGGTCCGCGGAGGTTTCGCCACGTTGCCGCCCGATGGCGCCTCGAAGGCGCCCCGTGCACTGGCTTGGGTCCGCCGAGGTTTCACCGCGTTTACGCCCGTGGGTGCCTCGAGGGCGCTCTGGGCGCTGGGTGGGTCTGGCGAGGTGTCGCCGGGATTCCTGGTGCGGTGGGCTTTTGTTCCCTACATCATATGTGGGGTTTTGGCTTTCTCTGGACACCCCGCGCAGTTCTCTCACCCAACCCATTTCATCATCACAGATCACACTCATCACGATTACCATCACCATCATCATCACTGCCATCATCACACCACTATCGTCAGCAGCACCACGGTGATCATCCATCCTAACAGGATCGTGATCATCATCATCCTCATCATTCTCGTCATCACCTTCATCACCATCGTCCGCATCATCCTCAACATTGCACTGGAGAAAAACCCAGTCAGTGGATGGGTTGAAAATTGGAGATACGGATGTTGACATCGATAGTGGAACCGATTGTGATGACGATTGTAAGGTCGATCGTGATACCGATAGCGAGTTCGATTTAAGGAGATCGATAGTGAGATCGGTCGTGAGTTCGCCCGTGCAAACTGTAGTGAGATCGATAGTGAGATCGATTGAGATATCGATCGTGAGATTCATAGAGAGGTGGGCAATGAGTTTGATGGTGAGACCAATCGTTAAGAAGATCGACCAGGAACCCCGGGAACCCCGCCGCCCACCGAAATCGGCCCGGAACCAGGAACCCGGCCGCCAAATTTCCGAAGTCGGCCCCGAATTTTCGCCAAACCATTCAATTGCACCAGAGAAGAAAAAACACAATCAGCGCATGGTTTGAAAATTAGTGATATCGATACATATTGAGGTCGACTGTGAGATCGATAGTGGAACCGATATTGAGGACGGCTTTAAGGTCGATCGTGAGTCTGATACCGAATTCGATTTAAGGAGATCGATGGTGAGATCGATTGTGAGATCGCTCGTGCGATCTATAGTGAGATCGCTGGTGAGATCGATTGTGATATCGGTCGTGAGATCGATAGAGAGGTGAGTCATGAGATCAATGGTGAGACCGATCGATACGAAGATCGACCAGGAACCCGCGAATCCTGGAACCCCGCCGCCCTCCGAAATCGGCCCAGAACCCGGAACTGGGAGCCCTGGAACCCGGCAACCCGGCCGCCTTCCGAAATCGGCCCGGAATTGTTCGACAATTCATTCAATATCCGGTAGGACCCCTTCAGTGCAAGCACTGATTAGGGAATCTCCGCTAGGACCCCTTCAGTGCAAGCACTGATTGGGCAATATCCGTCAGGACCCCTTCAGTGCAAGCACTGATTGGGGAATCATCATCTGTACTCGTTCACTCGTTCCTAATTTCACTCATCATTCTAACTCACAACTCATCAGCATCGTTATCATCATCATTATTTCACCACCATCGAAATCATCATGATGATTACCAGCCCATCATGATCGTCGACCACCGTGCGTTATCATCACAACCACAACCAATCATCACCATCATCATCATCACCAGCATCATCAGCATTGCACATATTCCTTCACTCACTCTCTCTCTCTCACACACGCATTCACTTAAGGGGATATTCAGCGGGAGCCTCGTGTGTGAGTGCACTGCGCGCAAGTCTCAGGCGGAAGCCCCCTCCCTAGGGCCCACAGTTCATGTCAGTAATCCGACTTGGTCATCCAACAGCTTGTAACTCTTGTCATTGTTGGGCTCCTGTTGTTTGAATATGGGGGAAATATCCAGCGGGAGCCTCGTCTGTGAGTGAATTGCAAGGAAGTCTCAGGCGGTAGCCCCCTCCCTATGGGGCCAGCAGATCATGTTACTTCTCCGAGTGTGTTTATCCAAAAATTGTAACTCTTACCATGTTTGGGCTCCTCAAGCTTGAATGAGGGGGAAGCACCACACGGGAGCCTCGTTTGTGAGCGAATTGCGACGAGGTCGCAGGCGGGAGCCCCCTCCCCATAGGGCCCGCAGATCAGGTTAGTAATCCGAAAAGGTCACCCAACATTTGTCTTATAACTGTTGGGATGTTGAGGCTTCAATTGGGAGAAAGTGTAGAGCGGGAGCTGTGAGTGAATCGCGGGAAAGTCTCAGGCGGAAGCCTCTTCCCTATGGGGCTCGCAGCTCATGTTGGTAATCCGAGAGGGTCATCCAACAACGCGTAAGTCTTGTCACGTTTGGGCTGTTGAGGCGGGAATCAGGGGGAAATATCAAACGGGAGTTTTGTCTGTCAGTGAATTCAGAGGAATCTCAGGCGGGAGCCATCCTTCTGGGGCCCGCAGCTCCCGTTCGTAGTCCGAGCGGGCGGGTCATGACATTCCCGTAAGTGCCGTCACTTTGGGACTCTTTGGGCTTGAATTTGGAAGAGGTGTCGAGCTGGAGCGTCGTCTGGGAGTGGGTCTTTCGGGCGTCTCCAGCTCACGGTCGGAACAACAAATCGAACAATTATTGGGAGCTCGGCTCGCAGCTGTTCTGCCACTGGCTTTCACGGGTCACCCCTCCCAATGGGGCTCGCAATTCATGGTGGCAATCCGAGTGTTGTATGCCGAGCTGGTCGTCGGCAAACTTGTTACTGTCCTCATCTTTGGGTTCGTCATGCTTGAGTATGGCTCGAACGAAGGTTCATACGAGCAATGTTGCTGTCGTCACCAATGCTCCAATAACGAAAGGTGATGTGATCCCTCGCGGGCCACTCGCTCGACCTATCAGACGAGGAGGAATGGGATAACCAGTTATTAAAGAAGACGATGGCGGCCAGGCACAGAGGGAAACCCTTGCGTCCGGGCTGGCGGTGGTAACCCATCCTCTGCCGAATCGGGCGCAGGGGGGAAGCCTTGCTTCCGGGCTGGCGGTGGTAACTTATCGACAGCCGAATCAGGCGCATGGGGAAACCCTTGCCCCCGGGCTGGCGGTGGTAACCCATTGTCGACCGAATCGGGCGCAGAGGGGAAACCCTTGCGTCCGTTCTGGGGGTGGTAACCCATCGGCGGCCGGATAGGGTGCAGGGGGGGAGCCCTTGCCTCCAGGCTGGCGGTTGTGACCCATCGTCGGCCGAATCGGGCGTCGGGACAAACCCTTGCGTCCGGGCTGGGGGTGGCAGCCGACTCGGAGGCAGGGGGGAACTCTTGCGTCCGAGGCGGGTGGTACCCAATCCACGCCCGAAACCGTGCCCTCCACGAAAACCACCCTCCTCCTGTCCCCCTCCTCCTCCCCCTCTTCTTCCTCCTCCTCCTCCTCCTCCTCCTCCTCCTCCTCCTCCTCCTCCTCCTCCTCCTCCTCCTCCTCCTCCTATTCCTCCTCCTGCTCCTCCTCCTCCTCCTCCTCCTCCTATTCCTCCTCCTCCTCCCCCTCCTCCTCGAGGTGGGTAGGGAGGAGGAGGACGACGAGGAGGAGGAAACGGAGGGCGAAGATGACGAGGAGGAGGAGTCGCAACAGGGAGCGGGACGAGAGCCTCCGCTAAGGCGCATGGGCAACAACAAGAGGCAAGTTACATATATTATCATGAGGGGTCCCACCGTCGGAGTAATTTCGGTTTTTGAGTTCTTGGAGACCCTTGCCGCCAGGGCCAGGGTTATAGTATACAGATACAGGTCGTAGAGCGTAGAGAAGACGCATCGGCGAGTATAAACAATAGTTTAACAAGGAGGACGGGAAGCAGAGGGTAGATAACAGAGAGTAGAGCATCTTTAGAGGGTAGATCGACAAATCGGGGTGATGGCACATGTGTGTATAAATCATGAGGAGGAGAGAGAGAGAGAGAGAGAGAGAGAGAGAGAGAAAGAGAGAGAGGGAAAACACAAACAAACAAACAAAAACACCATATATACAACTCATGCTACAGAGAGAGATGTGAGAGAAAACGAGAAAACAACACGAGAGAGAGAGAGAGAACGAGAGACGCACCTACACATATATAGAGCGAGAGATAGAGAGAAAACAATAAAGAACGAGAACTTGAGCGGACGGTGATTTACCTTCGTATACGCAGAGTTATGGCAGACTCGGAGATTTTTGGGGAGGCCCGAGTGATCGGGCATTTTGTCCAGATATAGAGAGTACACCTGAGAGATCATAGGGTCGAGTTGGGTAGGGAGGAATAAGGGGAGAGAGAGAGAGAGAGACAGAGAGAGAGAGAGACAGAGAGATTGAGAGAGTGATACCGGCACGTCGAGGGAGAGAGAGAGAGAGAGAGAGAGGAATATAGGCATCGAAATATATCAGAGAGACAGATCTTCACACAAACACTCATCATGCATAAATCTATACGCAAACACAGGGAACGAGAGAAATAGAGAGAAAGAGAGAGAGAGAGAGAGAGCGACGCGCGTGGAGTGCGCGCGGACATGCCCCGAGATCCACTCATGGGGTTTCTTCTTCTCTGGTGTTAAGTTGGGCCTGTCCCTCTACAGGAGAAAGTTTCAAAGATAGTAAGATAGTAAAACATAGTCTGGGGACACTTTGTTTTGGTATGTGTGTGTGTTTTTTGGGGGTACATGTTTTGGGGTATGTTTCTTTCTTCGTCCAAAATCCAGCTGTCGGGGGCAGGCCCGACCTAACTCTGGTGTACCTGGACGTTTTGGTCCGCAAATTGGTCGGGTTTCCAGCCAGCGTCCTGGGTGCCCCCTTTCTCCAGGGAAGTGGCGCGACGCTTCCTCGCGGACGCGTCGGCCCGCCGAGAGGGGTGAAACCCCCTGCGCCTCGCGCCCGGAGGACGTCGGCGCCAGCACGCCCCGCCAGGCCGCCCTGGACTCGCTGGCCGCGGAGGTGGCAGAGGCGGGCAGGACCGGCGGCGCGCAGTCGAAGAATCGCCGGGCTGCGCTGTGCTGTTCCTCAGGTCGCGATCTCGTTTGATTCGCGCGTTCGGCGTTGCGTCGCACACGTATGAGTATCCATTCACGGGAACCTGGGCTGGGCCTGAGGGCTCAAGAATCCAAATCTAGGGGCCGACCAATGCAAGATAATGATTTTGAGTTCCTACACTACTCGCAAAGTGCCTACTCGCAAGCGTCCGAGAAAAAACCTCGTAAATCCCTCACGGCGGATCCAGGCCATTTGCGAGCAGTGACTTTGCGAGTAGTGGAGCGCGCTTGCCTAAAGAAGAACAAACCCGGCATAAACAGCAGAAACTTTTGGCGCTCCGCGCGGATGTCTCGTATCTGCGCTGGGCTCCCCTGGGCGGCGGCGCCCTCGGCGCCCGCCCCTGGCGCGCTCCGCGCGCCAGGGAGGGGGGTTCAGCGCAGACCCAAGAAGTCCGCGCGGAGCGCCAGAAGTTCATGTTAGTGGCGTGTTTTTGTCTCTTCCCCTACGTAAGGCAGAGGAGGGCGAACTGAGACAGCGACAGTTGGCCTTCGGGGGCCCCCGTCGTCGCCACGGCGTGGCGCAGTTCGGGGAACTGGTGCGCTTGGACCCTGGGAGCGGTCCAGGAACGGATGTTGGGCTGCCGCTGTCTCCACTCGCCCTCCTCTCACCGAGCGCGTTGCGCTACTCACAAAGTGCCTACTCGTAAACGTCCGGAAAAACATGTTCTTCCTATGTGCAATGGATCGTGAATCCTCCGCGGCAGATCCAGGCCATTTGCGAGCAGTTACTTTGCGAGTAATGGAGCGCGCTCGTCTATCCTCCGCGCAAGAGCCGCCCCTCGCCAGAGCGACCTTGCTCTGCGACTTGGCCACCCCGCTGGCCCTGCAGAAGCACGCACCGAAAGCCACCCTTGCCCAGGGCCGCTCTTGCATGGAGCCTGCAGGAGGGCCCGGGCTGCCGAGGCCGCCCTCGAGGGGCTCCGGCGGGAGCTGGACCAGGTGCGCGGTGCCTCGCCCAAGGTTGGCATCGGCATCGGCATCGGCGGCGGCACCGACGACCTCCGCGGCCGCATGGACCTCCTCGACAGGCAGGTCGGTGAGCTCCGCGCGCAGCTGCGGGACGCTGCGGCGCCGCCGGGGCGCGGCGGCTCTCGCGGCAGGAGCCCCGTCGGGGAGGAGCCCCTGGACTTCTCGCTCACTGGGGCCGAGCAGGGGCGGGGCGCCGAGCCCCTGGACTTCTCGCTCACCGCGGCGAGCGAGCAGGTGCGCGCCGCCCCCCCGGGGGAGGAGCCGCTGGACTTCTCGCTCACCGGCGCGAGCGAGCAGGTCCGCGGCGCCGCCGAGCCGCTGGACTACTCGCTCACCGGCGCGAGCGACCGCCCCGCGGGCCTCGGCGAGGGCCCGAGCCTCGCGGCGGCCGAGGCCCCCCGGACGCCCAGCGGCTCCGCCGCCGAGGGCGCGGCCTCGGGCGGCGGCGCCCGAGGCGTGGGGATCGGCGGCGTGGCCGCGGGCGCGGCGGGCGGGGGCGGGGCCCGCGCCAGGCCGTCGCCGCTGCGGCTGGAGGCCGAGGAGAAGTCCGTGCCCCTGTCGCCCGTGCAGGAGCTCGTGCGTTTTTTTTTTTTTTTTTTTTTTTTTTTTTTTATCGGGCGAGGCGGGCCAGACGCGGGAGTGCAGCCATGGCCCCAGGCGGGGGGGAGCCCCAGGCAGTGAGATTGGGGCCCCGACACCGAGGCTCGACTGCACTGCTGCACACAAGGCGCAAGAATAGCACTTTGCGGGAGTGGCCTTTGGTGTGGGCCCACCGGGGTCCCCCGATCGCCGAGCGCGATGCGGTAGTAGCGTCTTGCGTGCTGGTGTTTGGTCCCCCCGCGGCCCCGAAAAAGCCGCGCACACAAGGTCGCTCTTACGCGTGTGGCCGAAAACGTAGGCCGGAAGCGCTGAATGCCTTGTCTGCCGTCGCTGGTGTTTTCGGGTGGCGGCAGTTTCGGTCAGTGGAATGGGGCGGGGGGGGCGTCCTTAATCCGTACGCATCACTAAACCGGGTCCCACGAAATTCAGTCTTTCCAACACGTGGCGGATGCACAATTTTTCCTCAAGCTCGAGAAGTCGCCTCGTGGCTAAAAGAAGATCGGCGGCGAGCGAGGGGGGGAAATGAGAAGGAGAAAGCCTTCTCAGAAGGCGGCGGGACTTCTCCGAAGCCCTCGCGCCTTCTGGGAAGCTTTTTGTCTTCGGGGAAGGCTTACACAACTTCTCAGAAGGCGGGGGGACTTCCGAGCCTCCTGAGAGGGCCTTCTCCTTCTCCTTCCCCCCCCCTCGCTCGCCGCCAAGCAGTGGAGGGCAAGCAGCAGGGGGAGAGCAAGAGGAGAAGCGGCAGCAGCAGCCAGCAGTGCAAAGGTGCGGTGTGCGGCCAGCGGCCTCAGCAGGAGCGAGGTGAGGTAAGCTGGGCCGACAAGTCCGACATCAGCGCGCAAGCTCCCCGCGTGAGCTGGCGCGCATTCCCCCCCGCCTCCTCTCCCAGACCCCCTCGCGTCGTGAAGAAATCACGACGGGAGGCGTGTCGCTATTTTCGGCCTCCGGGGCCCTTCCCGAGCCTCGGGACCGTCGAACAAAAAAAAAATCGGGTCGAGGAACCGGTCCCCGGGGAAGGGGCCGAGACATCTGGGTGTCGACGTCATGAAAAAGAACCTGACGTTGGGGGGCTGGGCTCCACGCGGTGTGCCGCCGCTGGCGGCACGCGTGAGCCTCCGCGCACAGTCGACACGCGTGCTCGCGCCAGATCTCCCTCTCTGCCGTCGCTCGCGTGCGGCGGCCACTGGCCAGATCCGCCCTCTGCTCAGGACCGGTGCCTCTGCCCTGAGATGCGACGTTGCGACGACAGCTGCGACGTCGTGAGAAATCGCGACCGGAGCTCCGGGCCCCATCTCTCCGCCTCCTGCTTCTGGCGGGGTCGCTCTCGCTGTGTGAGGGCCCATGGGGCCCGAAGCGGGGCGAGAGCGCCCGACGCGGACATATGGCAGCGCCAGGGTCTCGGGGTAGGGTCGGACCGGGGTATAAGGTCGAGTCGGGCCTGTCCCTCTACAGGGGGATTCTTCGAAAATGGTCCAGGAATAATCCAGTCCTGCCAACGCCCGGCAGTAAGGCTGCTGTGCCATCTCGCGCAAGGCCCGTTTCTGACCGTTACTTTACACGGAGTGGACGCTCCGAGCGACGGCGAGGGGCCTCGAGGAGCCAGGCCTCCTCTGCTGCGCGGTGAGGCGTGGTCGCGGCGGAAGGCCCCTTGCGGCCCCTTTGCGGCCTTCTCGCTTCGGGTCCCCGCAGTGGACCCTGATGCCGCCAGGAGATCACTCTCGGGATGAGGAGCCAGCCCCGGGGAATGGGGCCCACGTTTCGAGGATCAGTATCGTTTAGCCGACCCCCATCCCCATCCCCATCCCCTTCGAGACCCCTACCAAATTACCCCCCAGTTGGGGATGTACCCCTTGAAACCCGAAGGGGACGGCCTATGCCCATCAAGGGGGGTACATCGGCCAGTGGAGCCCAGCCCACGCTGATGGGGATGGGGATCGGTTAGACGATACTCAGACGATCCTCTTGGAGAGTTGCCCCGTGTCGCCCCGCCGCGATGGCGCGCAGCCTCATCCCGTCGCCTGCGTCGTAGTGGGAGAGCTTCGGTGAACAGGCCCACGTGGCCGCCAGCACGCGTGCTGAGGATCACCGCACGACGCGAGGGCCCAACAGGCCAGAGGGGTGCCAGAGAAGCGCGGAAGCGCTGGGGGAGGGGCACCCCTGTCGGCGGCGAGCGAGGGGGGAAGTGAGAAGGGGCGGGCCTTCTCAGAAGGCTCGGAAGTCCCCCGGCCTTCCGAGAAGATTTCTAAGCCTTTTCACGAAGACAGAGACAACGTTTCAGGAGGCGCGAGGGCGCCTTCTGGGAAGGCCTTCTCCTCCTCACTTCCCCCCCTCGCTCGCCGCCGACCCTGGGCCATGACCACCTCGTGGCAGCCTCCCCAGCAGGAGGGCAGCGCCAGCGAGGACAGGAGGAGAGCAGGCGGTCAGGCCGCCGAGCCCCAGGACATCGTGGGGTCGCAGAACAGGGGGTTCAGCCCAAGGGGGGGGGAACCTGGTCAAACACAAGCAGCCCTGAGGTCTGGGCGCTGCAGATTTTTGTTGCACCCTGTGGTTTCGCTCGGCTTCGGGCCCCGGGACCATCACGGACCCATCTGGCTTGCACGAGGCCGCAGGGCGATTGGGGTCGTGATGCCTAACGAGGTCATGTTTTGTTCGCGACGTCGGATCTCGGGGCGTGCCATGCACAAGCAATGAGTGAGAATGCTCACCGAAGCACGGAACGCCCTGCACCGCGCGGTGTTGCCCCCCGGCCCCACGAGTCCGCGAGGGGGTGCTGTGGGGCGCGGGAGAGCTGCAGGCGCACTGTTCTGGGAGGCCGTTCTGCTGGGCCTCCTCAGCGGCGCCAAGCTCCCAGTGACAGAGAAGGAGGAGGAGGAGGAGGAGGAGGAGGAGGAGGAGGAGGAAGAGGAGGACATGAGGAGGAGGAGGAGGAGGAGGAGGAGGAGGAGGAGGAGGAGGGAGGCGGAGGGGGGGATGTGAGGAGGAGGAGGAGGAGGAGGAAGGGAGGAGGAGGAGGAGAGGAGGAGGTGGAGGAGGAGGAGGAGGAAGAAGAAGAAGGATATTAATAAGAAGAATAAGAATAATAAGAAACATAATAATAATATTAATAAGAAGAATAAGAAGCATACTAATAATAATAATACTAATGATAATAGTAAGAATACGAAGAATAATAAGAATAATAATGATAATAAGAAGAAGACGAAGAAGAAGAAGAAGAGGAGGAGGAGGAGGTGGAGGAGGAGGAGGTGGAGGAAGGGGGAGGAGGAGGAGGAGGAGGAGGAGGAGGAGGAGGAGGAGGAAGAGGAGCAGGAGGAGGAGGAGGCGGAGGAGGAGGAGAACAAGGAGGAGGAGGAGAAGGAGGAGGATGAGGATGAGGAGGAGGATGCGGGGGAGGAGGAGGCGGGGGAGGAGGAGGAGGCGGAGGAGTAGTAGGACTAGGACGACTAGGACAGACAGGGTCCGAGTAGTTTGGGTCGGAGGATTGCGCCGAATCGCCGATACATCGGCGATGCGGCTCGATGTGGAGCCCTATGTTCTGCACGCCGGCGTCGCCGATGCTTCGCCGACGATGCTGATACTCTGACCCCAAGTACTCGGACCCCATTTGGGTGGCCTCTTATTCTGCAGCATGTTGTAGATAAGCCCTCCAGGAGCTCCACAGGACCCAAAGAAGACTCCGACGGGAGTCTAACAGAAATCGTGACAGTTCCCCTAGGAATCCTGTATGACAGCAACATAAATCCGTCTTTGTAAACCGCGCGCCAGAGAACAGGTGTGTGAATTTGGATGTCAGCAGTAAGGTTCTCCCTCAGGGTCGGTGTGTCGGGGGGCGTGATTTGCAACGTTGGCATGAACGCATGCGAGTAACATGAAATCGCAATAGGGTCCTGACTTATGGTAGTGAACATGGTATTTCCCAGGAGCCTCCTAAACGGTCCGTCCTGATTCGTTGGTGTGAGCTTTCGAAGTAAGTTCGTTATCACTTGTTTGTCTTTGCGCTGCTTAGGACTTCGTTGGGCTCCCGCGCGCGCGCCAGAGCGATGCTTCTTGTGGTGAGCGATGTCTCCCCGGCAACAGCCGCCGCCTACAAGCGATTCGCCCGTGTGTGTCCGACACCGCTGGGGAGCGAGGTTACAGCCGAGACGCTGAATTCAGGATCGCTTCGGGTTCTGAAGGGGCTCGCCGTTCCGTAGGCCCTCCCTCGGCTGTCCCTCTAACCCCCCCTCGTGCACCCAGGCGCTTCTGGGACCAAACATGGGTTTCGTTTCTTACGCAGCCCTCCTTCTGGTAGTTCCTCCACTGGATTGCAGTCGCCCTCCGAGGCCGGTGGCCGAGTCCATCCGCCGGAGGCCAACGCGCCTCCGCCACCGGGGGGCGTCCCGTCTCGACTCCTCCGAAGCCCCCCCCCCCCCCTCCTCCTCCTCCCTCCTCCCTCCTCCTCCTCCTCCTCCTCCTCCTCCTCCTCCTCCTCCTCCTCGCCCTCCTCCTCCTCCCTCCTCCTCCTCCCCCTCCTCCTCCCCCTCCTCCTCCCCCTGGCGTGCCCCCTCCCCCCGGCCTCGTGGGCTGGGCCCCCCGGGCCGCGACCTCGGAGTGCGGTAGGCTCTTGTCGTGTGGACCTGCGGCGACCCCGCCGCCGGCCTTCCGTGCGGACCGCCGCCAGCGACCCGGAGTCGGTCGATGCTGAACGATCTGACGTTTCGGAAACGGCCGATCATATACAGTTGAGCGATCCCCGTAGTGTCAGAAACCAGCGCCGAAGTCGGCACGACACGAGCCTGCCGTGCGCCCATGCCACCTCGTAGTGTCAGCCCTGGGATGCGACAGGGAAGACCCCCCCCGTCCTCTCTCAGAGGGCGGGGGACAGCGCTCCCAGCTGCGACCCCACAGTGTCAGCAACATGATGAGAAAGGGGACCCCCCCGTCCTCCTCTCGGGGGGCGGGGGACAGCTCTCCAGGCTGCGACCCCGCAATGTCAGCCCCATGATGAGAGAGGGAAGACCCCCCCCCTCCGTCCTCTCTCAGGGGGCGGGGGACAGCGCTCCCAGCTGCGACCCCGTAGTGTCAGCCCCATGATGAGAAAAAGGGAAAGGGAGGACCCCCTTCCCCGTCCTCTCTCAGAGGGCGGGGGACAGCGCTCCCGGCGGCGAAATGTGTATCATTCTTCCCCCGCGGCTGCGGCGGCTAAGAGGCTGCGGCGTTTCACCCGATGTTGCCTGCTATGATGAGACGCCGCTCCGGCGATCTTTGGCTGCTTAAGCCTTCATTATCCTTGGCCACAGAGTTCTTCTTGGTATGTAATTCTTCGCTTCGCATGTTCCACGGGATCGCGCCCCGGATGCCAGACGGCGAGGGCATCGGCATGCACATGCTTCTTATGCAACTCGTTGCTCCCAATCCCGGAGTTGCCCCCGAGAAGCAGGTAGCCCAGAAAGAAGGGGAGGGTCGGGGGGTACGCCTTCAAGGGGCCTATCTGGACGCACCCTTTTGAGGGTGGAGGCCCCCCCCTATCATCGTATATCCCAGAGTTGGGCCGACAAGTTCTGGTCTTTTGGAGAACTCTTTGGAGTCGGGCTCTGGGGCTGCCATAGGACCGATGGACATATAGTCCTGCACCGCCCTCGCGACCTGCGAGCCAGCGCGAACTTCAAGGCGCCCCCCCCCCTCGCAGGCCCAGAGGTTGACACCAACACCAAGATCGGCCGAGGGAAGAAGATCCCGATCTCGGTGATGGTGGTAATATTCTGGCTGCCAAGGTGACCGAAATATTACCACCCACACCGAAACCTAGGATCATCTTCCCCCTGTGGAGGCAACCTCCTGGGTTGGCGTTGGTGCCAGTTTCCAAGCCTCCAACCCTGCCCCCGACTCAGCGTTCGCTGGCTGCGCCAGCGGGGTGCAGGACCTCGGCGCAGACCGGACGGTCGACACACCGCGCCGGAGACCCCCGACATGTGTGTATATGTAACACATATGTATATATACATATATATATACATATATATATATATATATATATATATATAGAACACATCGGGGGCGCGGGGGGCGTTCACGAACATCCGCACAAGAGGTGCAAGACTTGGTCCATTCCCTTCCTCGCTCCTCCTGGCTCCTCCTCCTCCTCATCCTCCTGCGCCTCCTCTTCCTCCGCCTCCTCCTCCTCCTCCTCCTGCGCCTCCTTCTCCTCCACCTCCTCCTCCTCCTCCCCCGCCATGTGCTCAAGTATGGCCTGGCCCAGTGTGCGGCCACTAGCTGGTGCCAGGTGAAGGGGCCCTTCTCCGCGGTCAGGCTCTCCCTAGAGCGCGTGGGCTGGCAGATTGTCGACGGCAGCACCTGGCTCACGCACTGCGGCGACAGCATATGCATCTTCGAGACCTCGCCCTGGGTCGTCAAGCGCCTGCTCTGGATGGCGGTGGATGCGTGGCAGTGGCGACAAGTCGGGCAGCGGCCTGGGCTCGCCCATCTGGCTGATGGGGGCTTCCTCGAGCCCATCGTCAGGCTCACCAACGCGGGGGCGGTGCAGCGCAAGGGTTTCTTCGGCCGACAGGTGAACTACGTCGACGGTGACGCTGGCGCTGCCGCTCCTCGGCCTGTCGGTCGACCTGCTGTGCCTCCTGAGGTCGCGGCGCTGCCGTCGGGAGAGGAGGCAACTCGTGGCGGTGTCGCGCGGCATGGTGTTGTGGCTGGCTCTGCTGCGGGTGGCCTTTCAGGCCCAGCTCTGGCCAGCGTGCTCGGGTCTGGCTACCTGATTGCGGTGGAGGCTAGCGCCGCTACTCTACAAGCTGCGCGCGCTGAAGCTGGAGACGGATGGGGTGACCTCATCAACGACCTGCTCGGCCAGGTGGCGCCTGACCCCCCGCCGCGGCCAGACCCAGAAGGCGGAGCACCGCTCGGACCTGGGCTGCCTGCTGGCGACGCTGGGGTTGGTGCCTGCCCAAGCCTCGTACCTCCACGGCAAGGTGTGTCGACGGCTCCTCAGGGTGGGCTGGCGGATGCTGCCCTTAATGACGCTACTCCCCCGAGTGGCGCGCCTCGAGGAGCTACGGGACCCACACCCACTGCCGCTGGTGCGACGCCTGCTCAGAAGGCTAAGGCGATCCGTCTTGCGCCCAAGGAGTGTGGATACCTCGCCTCGGTCATCGTGGACGGCCAGTGGTCGCAGCGCCGCAAGTACCTGGGCGGCTACGCCTCGGACGACAAGTGCTTGCTGTGCGGCGGCGTTGGCACGCTGCTGCACAGGCACACGTGATGCAGTGGATGGCCGCCCGAGCTGCGGCTGCCCAGCAAGATCCGTGAGCTGGCGGGCAGGGTTGAGCTCGTGGAGGTGGAGTGCCTGCTGGAGCGCGTGCTGTGGCCTGCGCCCCGCGGCATCATCAAGCCGCCTCGGCCTCCTGGGCTCAGCTGGCTGGGCCAAGACGTAGGCGGCATGCTGCCGTCGGGCGACGTGTACCTGGACGGCTCCGCCTACGAGGGCGACTTCCAGCAGTACACAAGCGTCGGCTGGGCTGCGGTGGTGCTGCAGGAGGACGCGGACGCCTTCCGCACTGGCATCTCGGGCACGCTGTGCGAGCCCTTCGCCGACATCAACGGCGGCGAGCTGGCCGCGCTCATCGGCACGCTGCGCCATGCCGTGCCGCCCGTCAGGGCCATCGTCGACTCCGACTTCGTGTTCAAGGTTGTGCTGGAGCACGGGCCGCTGCTCACGACGCGCTGGGGCTACGCTTGGGCCCACATCTGGCGCGAGCTCTGGCGGCTTGTCGAGGACTTCGGGGGGATAGGGCCGCATGGCCTGACCCTCAAGAAGGTCCCTGCGCATGTTCCGCGACGCCGAGTGACCGACGACGGCGTCATCACCGCTCGCGACTGGATCGGCAACTGCATCGCTGACCAGGCCGCGAAGTGCGCGGCCGAGCGCGCGAGGATTGCGCCCGAGGACCGACAACGCCTGCTGTCGGCACGGGAGCTGGTCGAGGGCGTGGCCATGTGGGTCTCAGCTGTTGGGGCAGCCGTGGGCGGGGACGACACCACCCACCGCGCGGCGAAGCCCAACAAGGCGGCCCCGCGAGCAGCGCTGCAGCCAGCGACTGCCAGGCTAGGCTGCGACCTCCGTGGGCCGCTTGGGGCGCGATGGTGCAGCAGGTGTCGCTGGCTGGAGCGCGCCAGCGAGTGCCCTGGCTCGATTGTGACGTCCGCCCTGGACCACAATAGGAGGCTGCGGGCACAGGGCGCGCTGGCGCACGTGATCGCGAAGGTCGAGCCGCAGGTCGAGGCCCAGCTGCAACGTGAGATGCCGCTGCTGGCCTGCCTCGTCTGCGGAGCCACGAGTTCGGCGAGGAGCTCGTCCTTCGCCCGTGCCTGCGGGGAGCCTGGGGCAAAGGGCAAGCTGGTGATTGGCCGGCTCGCCAAGGGCTTCGCGCCAGGCGCCGCAGGCCGTGTGGCCGTCAAGATCGTGCAGCTCGGCGACCACGGCTCCGCGGACGACGATGCGGAGCGCGTCGGCGGCGTCCTGGACGGGCCGCTGCCCTGAGGCGCGCGCGGGGGGAGGAGGCCCCACATCCCCGCGTGCGCCCTCGGCGGCGGCCACTGCTGCTGCAGTGCTGACTTCGTCGCGGTGCACCTCGGCGAGTTCGCGGCGGTCCTCCGAGGAGGCCGCGCCCGCGCGCGCGGGCGCCTGCGCGGCCGACAGCCCGCGCAGATGCGTGCGCATCCTCCTCCCCCGCCTCCTCCTCCCCCGCCTCCTCCTCTTCCTCCTCCTCTTCCTCCTCATCCTCTTCCTTCTTCTTCTCCTCCTCCTCCTCCTCCTCCTTCTCCTTCTCCTCCTTCTCCTCCTCCTCCTCCTTCTCCTCTCCTCCTCCTCCTCCTCCTCCTCCTCCTCCTCTCCTCTTCCTCTCCTCCCTCCTCCCCCTCCCTCCCTCCCTCCCTCGCCCCTCGGCTGGCCGGGGAATTTTCGCCCCGCGCCCGCCCAGACCATCTCGTCCTGGGGGGGCCCGCGAAGGGCCGCGGGGCCTGCGCGGCGCTGGGGCCGAACGGGGGCGCAGCTTGCCTGGGCGGCTCACTTCCCCCGTCGATCGGAGGACGCGTAATCCGCGGCCTCCTCCTCCCCCTCCGAGTCCTCCTCCTCGTCCTCTTCCTCCTTCTTCCTCCTCCTCTCCTCTTCCTCTCCTCCTCCTCTCCTCTCCTCCTCCTCCTCCTCCTCCTCCTCCTCCCTCTCCCCCCCTTCCTCCCTCCCCCCCCTCCGGCCTTGCCAAACGGATATCCGCCCCGCGCCCAGATTATCTCGTCCTGGGGGGGGGGGGGGGGCGCGAAGGGCGGCGGGGCCTGCGCGGCGCTGGGGCCGAACGGGGGCGCAGCTTGCCCGGGCGCTGGGGCCGAACGGGGTCCATCGGAGGACGCGTCATCCGCGGCCTCCCAGAGTGGGGTCGGAGTGGATGGGCTCGGAGGATCGCGCCGCATCGCCGATGCATCGGCGATGCGGCTCGATGCGGGCCCGATGTTCGCCATGCAGGCGTCGCCGATGCATCGCCGACGTCGCAGGTGCATCGGCGATGCATTCGCGATGCGGCGCGATCCACTGACCCCATGCCTCCAGTAATGGGGTGGCTATAACTGTTGCGTAAGGCCGAGGGTCAGAGAGCATCTTCCGCTGCAGACAACTGAACGAGGGACGTCAAGGTTTGTCAAACGCTTCGCCCGTGAAACCGAAGAAGATGTGCTTGACGCCAGGCGTGGTGCATCAATGTCAGCTTGACCGAACAGGGTTGTCGCGCCCCGTTTGAGGTGTTTAGTAGACCCGACCCCCCGACCCTACTCAAGATAAGTGGGGAGACAGCGCGTGCTGCACAAAAGGGGCCCTTGAGGGCCCTGAAGGGGGCCTCTGGGGCCCGCCGAGGGCACTTTTCTTCCACCGAGGGGGAGAAGAAGGAGGAGGAGGAGGAAGAGAAGGAGGAGGAGGAGGAGGAGGAGGAGGAGGAGGCGGAGGAGGAGGAGGCAGGAGGAGGAGGAGGAGGTCAGGAGGATCAGAAGGAGGTATATGGGGGAGGGAGAGGAGGAGGAGGAGGAGGAGAGGCGGAGGAGGAGGGAGGCGGCAGGAGTGAGGAGGAGGAGGAGGAGGAGGAGAGGAGGAGGAGGGGAGGAGGAGGAGCCGGAGGAGGAGGAGGAGGAGGAGGAGGAGCAGGAGGAGGAGGAGGCGGGGGAGGGGACGATCCTCCTCCTCTCCTCCTCCTCTCCTTCCTCCTCCCTCCTACTCCTCCTCCTCCTCCTCCTCCTCCCTCCTCCTCCTCCTCCTCCATCCTCCCTCTCCTCCTCTCTCCCTCCTCCTCCTCCCTCCTCCCTCTCTCTCCTCGCTCTCCTCATCCTCCTCCTACTTCCTCCTCCTCCTCCTCCTACTCCTATTTCTTACTCCTACTCCTACTCTACTCCTACTGCCTACTCCTACTCCTAATCCTTATTCCTTATTAGAATATACTCCTACTCCCCCCTCAGGCCGGCCATTAGGGGCCGCATCCGGGGGGTCCCATCCTAACCTGTAAAAAACAATACAAAATCAACATTTTTCTTATTTTTTCCTCTCGACATGGACGTCCTGTCGTCCACGGCGATAATCCATTGCAAAAAATACCACAAAGAGCACACGCGCGCGTTCATGTCAGAATCCTACCGAACACCGTGTGTTTGCAAGCATTTCAACATAAAAACATCAACAACCCAATGCATTTTCACAAAAATTGTACAAATTTCCCGCCCGGGCTCTCTTGCTGAAATCATAGGAAAACCATAGGAATCTTAAGAATTCTGTCAAATCCAGCGATTTCACGTCATCGCGCGGTGCACTCGCGATGCTCTGTCATGCACCCAGGCCGCGAATCCTGTGCAAAAAATACCACAAAGAGCACACTCGCGCGTTCATGTCAGAATCCTACCGAACACCGTGTGTTTGCAAGCATTTCAACATAAAAACATCAAAAACCCAATGCTTTTCACAAAAATGCTTTGGGGTGTCCTGTCAGACCGTCGGGCTTCCTCCGGCCACCTCTGGCTTCCTGCGGTGTACCGGGCCATTCTCGACTCGTCTCGCAATGCGTGCGCGGCATTCAACACGCGCTCGCCAGTTCCCGTCGGCAACCGCCATCGCGGCCGCATCAGCTGTACCAAACCGGCTGGCCGGTGTGACTTCGGCCCCCCGTTGTGCCAGCTTTGCTTCTTATGTTGTGGGAGGGCGGGTGGGACTGGGCATGCCATGCTTGACTCGCTCGAGCTGGCTAGCTTGACTCCTATCCATATTCCTTATTAGAATATACTCCTACTCCCCCCTCAGGCCGGCCATTAGGGGCCGCATCCGGGTGGTCCCATCCTAACCTGTAAAAAACAATACAAAATCAACATTTTTCTTATTTTTTCCTCTCGACATGGACGTCTTGTCGTCCACGGCGATAATCCATTGCAAAAAATACCACAAAGAGCACACGCGCGCGTTCATGTCAGAATCCTACCGAACACCGTGTGTTTGCAAGCATTTCAACATAAAACATCAAAAACCCAATGCTTTTTCACAAAAATTGTACAAATTTCCCGCCCGGGCTCTCTTGCTGAAATCATAGGAAAACCATAGGAATCTTAAGAATTCTGTCAAATCCAGCGATTTCACGTCATCGCGCGGTGCACTCGCGATGCTCTGTCATGCACCCAGGCCGCGAATCCTGTGCAAAAAATACCACAATGAGCACACTCGCGCGTTCATGTCAGAATCCTACCGAACACCGTGTGTTTGCAAGCATTTCAACATAAAAACATCAAAAACCCAATGCTTTTTCACAAAAATGCTTTGGGGTGTCCTGTCAGACCGTCGGGCTTCCTCCGGCCACCTCTGGCTTCCTGCGGTGTACCGGGCCATTCTCGACTCGTCTGGCAATGCGTGCGCGGCATTCAACACGCGCTCGCCAGTTCCCGTCGGCAACCGCCATCGCGGCCGCATCAGCTGTACCAAACCGGCTGGCCGGTGTGACTTCGGCCCCCAGTTGTGCCAGCTTTGCTTCTTATGTTGTGGGAGGGCGGGTGGGACTGGGCATGCCATGCTTGACTCGCTCGAGCTGGCTAGCTTGACTCTTACTCTTACCTCCGGCTCCTACTCCCAACTCCTAACAAACCTCCTACCTCCAAACTCTGATCCTATTCCACTCTATCCTAACGGGCGTACTACTACTACTCCTACTCCTATCCTTATTCCTGATTAGAATATACTCCTACTCCCCCCTCAGGCCGGCAGATAGCGGGCGCATCCGGGTGGTCCCATCCTAACCTGTAAAAAACAATACAAAATCAACATGTTTCTGATTTTTTCCTCTCGACATGGACGTCCTGTCGTCCACGGCGATAATCCATTGCAAAAAAATACCACAAAGAGCACACGCGCGCGTTCATGTCAGAATCCTACCGAACACCGCGTGTTTGCAAGCATTTCAACATAAAAACATCAAAAACCCAATGCTTTTTCACAAAAAAAATCTACAAATTTCCCGCCAGGGCTCTCTTGCTGAAATCATAGGAAAACCATAGGAATCTTAAGAATTCGGTCAAATCCAGCGATTTCACGTCATCGCGCGGTGCACTCGCGATGCTCTGTCATGCACCCAGGCCGCGAAGCCTGTGCAAAAAATACCACAAAGAGCACACTCGCGCGTTCATGTCAGAATCCTACCGAACACCGTGTGTTTGCAAGCATTTCAACATAAAAACATCAAAAACCCAATGCTTTTTCACAAAATGCTTTGGGGTGTCCTGTCAGACCGTCGGGCTTCCTCCGGCCACCTCTGGCTTCCTGCGGTGTACCGGGCCATTCTCGACTAGTCTGGCAATGCGTGCGCGGCATTCAACACGCGCTCGCCAGTTCCCGTCGGCAACCGCCATCGCGGCCGCATCAGCTGTACCAAACCGGCTGGCCGGTGTGACTTCGGCCCCCAGTTGTGCCAGCTTTGCTTCTTATGTTGTGGGAGGGAGGGTGGGACTGGGCATGCCATGCTTGACTCGCTCGAGCTGGCTAGCTTGACTCCTACTCCTACTCCTACTACTCCTACTCCTACTCCTACTCTACTACTACTACTACTACGTACTA